GCCGAGCGCTGAGCCAATTGGGACAGATTGGGACAAACCACCTGCTTCCATGTCAAAGGGGGGATTTGGGTTTTGTCAGTGTCCTTTGTGTATTCTGTTACTATTAATTATCCCTTGGTTTCAACTTGGTTAGGCCAAGCCACTATATAGGTTCCTTGAAGGTATTTTCTGTTGACCTCTTTTATAGGCCTAGATATTAGAAATGATTGATTTATGATGTTTTCTTTGGACTTTTGGGTAAATAAAAAACCCAGTTTATTTAAAACACTCCTGTGTCCTGTTGCCTACTGCTTGGTCCCTGACAATTGGCCTGTCTTAAGATAAGATAAGATAAGATGGTACTTTATTGATCCCAATTTGGGAAATAGTTTTTGTTGCAGCAGCATAAAAGACAAGGCATTTTACAATAAAACAAAACTACAAATAAACAAGAATAGAAATAAAATAAAATAAAATAGAAAATATACATGTTGAAATAGAAAATATACATGTAGATATTATATATACAAATATATATGTTCAAAAATATATGACATGGAATATGGAATATGGAGTATTAAATATTTAACAGATTATGTATGAGTAAAATGTACAACGTGGTTTTATTACAAGAGAAACTATGAAGCAGAGAGTTCTCTTCCAGCCAGAGGTGATTTATTGTACTGAGTTATTGCAGTGGGCAAACAAATACAAAGTATGTTCATTAAGAATGCACATACTGTCCCTCCTCTGTCTTTCAATGTAGTCAAACTTGTTGAAGAAAGACAATAAGTTTAACGTTACAGAAATAAAAGCTTACTCACCCTCCTAATTGCAGACGTAACTTCATAAGTACAACATGAAACATGTCTCCCGCTTGCTGCTGGGTGCAGGTGAAAGTAGGTCGACATTTCTGTTCACATCGCTGACATTTGTCACAGGTAAATCTTGTAGGTATCGCAACAAACATGACGTTGTCACACAGCGACAAGCTGGACACTGGGTTGACCAAATAACTACACGCTCTTATTTACATTTGACACGTTATTCAAAACCGACAGCCTGTGTGTTGTTTGCTAAACACTGCCACTGAAATACCACACTCAATTATCAAACCCCTGCACCCAGAATGCACATGTTAAAAGCCATGTAACCAATTAGATCACTTAGAAACCTGAGCTTGAACACTTTGTTGTGCACAACAATGGAGGCCAATTTTGAAGAGAGAATTAGAGGAAGAGGTAAATGCAATATACTGTATTTTGTCTTCAGTACCATACAGTGACTATGTTCATGTCATCTTCACTCTCAGTAAAGTCATTGTGTCTGATACTGTTATGAGTATTGAGAATAAACCTATTTGTGTGTTTCCACATTGCATGTGTTCATTCATAGTCCATATTTACAGCGTGCTACAAATGAAAATGCCTAAAACTTTGACTTGAATGTCTTGTTTATTAATCAACTAATGGACAGTGTTTCAATTCAGTTCATGTAAGCCTTACACACACATTCCTCTTTTGAGCGTCTAGTGATTATGGCCTGCATGTCTTTCTGTTCTAACTCAGCTGTCAGCTTCTTAGCAGTTTAGACAAACATCAAATTCATAATGTAGAGACAAGTTGGACAAAATAATGCTTAACAACTGTTCCATTTACTGTGTGAACTGTTTTAGGGGTCGACTGTATGAGATAGCGTTCTCCCGCTTGCTGCTGGGTGCAGGTGAAAGTAGAGCGACAGTTCTGTTCACATCGCTGACATTTGTCACAGGTAAATCTTGCAGGTATGCAACAAACATGACGTTGTCAATGTCACCAGTCTATGGTTGCAGTCGAATAGTCCATTTTGCTCAGGAACCTTCCTAACGGAGTGAAATGACCCGGAAGTACCTCAGTGGCAGCCATGATAAGAGCTGTTCGAATTCTCTAGAGTCTCTATTCTAACCTAATGTTAAATTATTTTCCCTACCCCAGTTTCCCTCAGAAAGGTAAACAGTGCTCTTACTGGTAGCTCTTACTCCTTCTGTTCCCAGAACACCAACCACACTCCCTCTCTGACTTTATCCTTTAGTTTTTCTCTTTCAGCTTTATAGATGTCACAATGTAATAAGATATGTTCCACATGTTCTTTAACTCCACAGCTCCCACACTTGTCACTGTCACGTTTCCCCATGACATACAGCGTACCATTCAATGCTGTGTGATCCAGTCTGAGTCTAGCTATCATGATTTCCTCCCTTCTGTTTCTTTCTTTATAAATATTAATTGTAATTGTATTTTGTACTTTGTGATAGTCTTTGCCTTTCTGGTCTTTCTCCCACCTTTTCTGCCAGATCTCCATCCCTTTTTTCTTAATTACTGCTTTTCCTTCTCCTTCTCCAAGTTGAACTGGTAATGTTATTTCCTTTTGTCGTGCACTTTTTGCTAATTTATCAGCACACTCGTTCCCTTTCACCCCCTCATGTGCAGGCACCCAGCAGAACTGCATAGGTACCTGCTGTCAGCCAATAAGACAGATGTTTATTTCCATTCAACTCTCTGGTTGGTCTGGTGTCTTGCCTCTGGCTCTGGTGCATTCACTGAACACGGGAAATTACAAATCTGCCGTCCTCTCATGATGAGGTTCAGGTAAAGCACGGTTAATGTATTATATTAATGAGTCCAGGCCAGGCGACGCCACTGTTAAGGACTAATAATAAATGCATTTGTATTGATTTTAAGATCTTTTCATACAATCATACGTATTGGGATCATTTGTATTAATGTGGACCGGAGGGAGAGGGTGACGAGCATACATTTCACTTTCCCTTTTCATTTCAATTCCAACGTTGGTCATGAAGAATATGTTTCTCTGTTGTTCACGTTCATAAAGCATAAAACAACAGCATCATAGCACGGTGCAGAGTCTCTAGATGAGTTTACAGTAGTCCCTCGTTCTTATTAAACATCCATGTTGTTGTAGTCCGCTGTATAGAAAACTGTAGTTTCCCCACAGCAGCAGACGCACATTTATGACGTCCGCTGGCGCATCATAAATACGTCGGATAGTGAAAGTGCAGTCGGATTCTCTAAAGCACCGCAGTCTCTTCTCCAGTCCTTTTGAATTCTCGTATCCACTATCCCTTAACCCCGTGACGTTTCACACAGGTCAAGGAATAGACGATAGGGGCTGATTTTTGGACTATTCGACTGCAACCTATGTTTGTCACACAGCAACAAGCTGGACACTGGATTTACCGACACAGTACAAACCGGAAGTCAGCGAAATAAAGTTATGCACAGAGCTTGCATACTTGTGTTAATCTCTATAAACACATATCTGCATGTGAATGCAGAAATAAACTTATCCTCGTGAGACTTCTGGGTTCCAGGATTGAACTTTTACAGCATTGACATTATATCCTCGTGTCTTTTATTTTGAAATAGGTTCTTTAACTTCCGGTCCACCGGACTGCTTTTCTTCATTCTTCAATACAAAACGGAAAATTGAATGAAGTGGTTATCAAAAACCAAAATCGGACCGTTTTTTTTAAATTAGGTATTCTTCTCGTTATCCGTTTTTTTATTCAGACAACAAAAACGGGAAACCGGCTTTGGTTTCCCGTTTTTTTGTTTGTGATTTAAAACGAAAAAAGGCTGGTATTTGGTTCAAACGAAAAATCAAACTAACAAAACGTACACGGACCTTTTTTTAATTAGGGTTTCTCGTTATCCCCTTTAAGATTCAGACAACATAAACGGGAAAATGGCTTTTGTTTCAAAAACGAAAAATCAAACTGACAAAAGTACACCGACCGTCTTTGTTCGAGACAAATGTGTCTTTATCGACAAACTCTCGCGAGACTTGACAACAAAGCCATTACGTTCGTCCAACTGTGTCGACATTTTAAATCTAACGTTGCCCAACGTTCACAAAAACGCCCTTGCTTACTGCCTTTTGTATTGTACACGTTTGTTATCTTCCCTGATATAATATTTTAGTTATTTACAATATAAATACATTAGACTGAGCTCAGAGGAGACTATCTTTGGTACTATCATGGTCTATTGAATTTGTGTCACGGCGCCATCTAGTGTTGAAATGAGGAACTGCATAGTAACACTTATATAAAAATAATTTGAATATACATGAACATAACATCGTATTTTATCATATGAACTCAAACTGTTCAAATCACGGGCACACATACACATTTAACAAGGGGGGGGAAATACAGATTATAGGTGTATTCGAATAAAAATGATGCATAAGCAGTTCATTTTTATTCATTTAATTTCAAAGGTTTAATGGCACAACTAGAATATGAACTACTCAATTCATCCAGTTATATTTTTAACTTGGTGCCATATTGCTGTAGTTCTTGGTTGATGGATTTTTTGTTACCCCATCAAAAAGAAAAAAAATTGTTTAAGCTCCTAATTCACAGAAAAAGATTTTCTTAAGTATTTGTTTCATTGTATATCATGTGTTAATATATTTTTTTAAATCTTTGCATAATAAGAGTGGTGCAGTGACGCGCCCTAAAACTCGGAAGTGAGTTAGCATTTTACCACTTCCGGTTCCCTCGACAAAAAAAGCAATGCAATTTCTCCATAAGATTTTGGAAAAAAGCTAAAAAATAAGGTATAAGGTTGACACATTTAAGAGTCACGTTTTGTTCTACGACATTAAATACATCAGCAGTGACCTCACTGGTGAGTTTAAGTGTCTGAAAAACGATGGTTGTTAACACGTGGCTGAATAGGACTGCAGAAGTTGTCGAGGCCGTTGTACGTCATTACACCGAACACGCACACACTCCCGCTAAATTTGTTATACCTTTTACCCCGTGTTCTGCTTGAAAGCAATTACCTGCCTCGTGCAAACTGTTAAATCAAACGCTTCAACTTGTACCATTTTTAATCTGTATTTTTAAATAATGCATGTCTTATCTGGAGAGTCCTAGGCGACCGTAATTTGCAATCCGCGTAGCTAACGGCTAACATCGTTACCCTTACCACAATAAAAAAAACACTCACCGATTTCATGTGTGACTCACAATGCCTGAGGCTGTTTATTATCAAAATCAACTCAAAGTCAAAGTATTATGGTGCTTTGTCACCGTGAATGGAGCTTGCTGGGAAAACACAACTTTTACTTAGTCCATATCAACACAATTATATTTATACCACGGTTTTTAAGCCAGTGGAAAGAATGCTTTATTCGTATCCAGCGTCGCGGTTGCCTCTGTAGCCTCCTCCTCCACCTCTGGAATATCCGCCGCCGCCTCCGCCGCCGGATCTGTAGCCGCCGCCACCTCCGCCGCCACCGGAACGACCCTCGGATCCGTAGCTTGATCGGTCGCCATAGCTTCTTTCTCCTCCTCCGCCGCCGCCGCCATAGCTTCTCTCACCGCCGCCATATCCTCCACCACCTCTCCCGCCACCTCCGCGCCCGAATCCACCTCCTCCACCACCACGGCCACCACCACGGCCGCCGCCTTGTCCTGCCTCGTCGACGCGGATTGACCGGCCATCAAGGGTGGTTCCGTTCATGCCGTCCATTGCTTCTTTGGCATCCTCGGCATTGTCGTACTTCACGAAGCCGAAACCGCGGGAATTCCCGGTCTCTCTGTCTCTGATCACGTCCACCTTCTCGATGGTTCCAAACTTGGAGAAGGCCGCAGCCAGAGATTCTTCGTTGGTGTCGAAGCTGAGGCCACCGATGAAGAGTTTACCTTCGTCCGACATGTTGTTTAAGTCGTTTTGGGCTTTTCAGTAGTAGGAGACTATTGAATCTGAAGAGCAGGCGCTGCAGGAGGAGGCACGGGTACTGGTCGTTGAGACGGCTTAGGACTGAGAGACGCATGGAACAGACGCATGGAGTTTTAAGGCCGCACTGAGAGGCAATATCCGGTGACGGGACCACGTGGGTTCCGCTCAGTTTAAGCTCCGCCTCTTTCTGAGAAAATGCCGGATTAAAATGATAATGTGAAAGGGCACTGTTATATATGTTAAAGAGGTACGGGGAGGTTTTCATGGGACTTGTGTTATTTCTCTATTTTTTGTATCCATTTAATGTTATTGTGAGGGCTTTAGAATGTGAACTATGAGTATTGTCTGGTCCTCACTTGGCAACAGAAAGGTGGCGGTAATGCGCCATTAAGCTGGATGCAAACAGCCATACAACTCGAGAAAGAAGAAGAATAAGCCCTGTGAGAAGTGAACGTGAACACGTGTTTATAACAGACTGTTTCCAACAATACTCACAAAATGAATCATATTTCACATGACACATATCTTCCATACACTTTGGCATCAACATGGCATTTTTTAGACGGATAAATCAGGAGAAAACGGGTCTTTGTTCGAGACAAATGTGTCTCATCGACAAACTCTCGCGAGATTTAATAACAAAGCCATTACGTTCGTCAAACTGTGTCGACATTTTAAATCTAACGTTGCCCAACGTTTACTAAAACGCCCTTGCTTACTGCCTTTTGTATTGTACACATGTTTGTTATCTTCCTTGATATATTAATTTAGTTATTTACAATATAAATACATTAGACTGAGCTCACAGGAGACAGGAAATGATCTTTGCTTGTCTGTGGTACTATCTTGGTCTATTGAATTACATTGTCACGGGGCCATCTTGTGTTGAAATTAGGAACTGCATAGTAACACTTATATAAAGTATTTAAATATACATGAACATAACATCGTATTTTATCATGATATGCAGGGTCGTCCCTCCCTACAGGCCGATCATGCAGACTGCGTGGGGCCTCACCCATGGAGGGCCTCACCTCGCGGAGGGGGCCTCATCTTGCGGAGGGGAGAGGAGCCTCAACTGAGCCGAAAATGCGGCGCACCTATGCGCTTATGCGGCGCAATTAGTGTAGCGCGGCACGGTTTCGCCGCTGCGAGGCTCCACTAGTAAAATATAACAGTATTTACATTCCAATGGAATGGAATAAGAAGGAATAAAATATGGAATAAAAATTGGCAGTAATAATAAATAATCATTTAAAAAAAAAAAAAAGATATTGTTGTACATTGTGTGCATTAATGTAATGCATAGAGTCTGCGTTCTGGCTGAGGTAAAGTGGTATTGTGGTATAATTATCACTGGTAATGAAGGTACATGAGTAGTAACACATTACATGTCACTTCTTTGGCTTTAGGAAGGATAGGATAAGTTAAATATATGTTGAACAGTAGAACCGCCCACGCTGTCACTGGATGTGTCACAGGACCACAGTGTTGTTGTGAAGACGGAAGTGAGAGGAGGACTTCCCTCTGGACAATTCTTCATTTGGAAACAGTTAAAGTAATACACCACCGCCTGCTTAGTCATGACTACTGCGTACAAAAACAGGTAGGACACATCTAAAGGTGTGTTTTAGCATGATGTGCATGTGCATGACATTCACAAACTGCTGCTACATCATTTATTGTATCCACTAGCATCCTAACTGCTAACTGACAATAACTTCACTGTTTAGCTAGCAGCAGCTCAGCTAATCAGACAAAAGACAAGTTTAGGGCAATACATGCAAAGATAATACTTGTGTGAATCCTCATGTGATCTAAATGTAATGTCAAGATACAAAGATAACGGTAACAAACACTGCAACTTCATCGTTTCATGTAGCTAGGTAGGCTAGCTCCCTGTTAGCACATCAGCTGACACACCGTACTTCCTTAAGGCTAACAGTTAGTTAGCATATCCAGCTAGCTCCATTATCTGACAAGGTGGAAAACAGACAGAAGTGTAGAAGTACTCAGACTTTGTACTTGAGTAAAAGTAGAAGTACTCAGATCTTGTACTTGAGTAAAACTAGAAGTACTCAGATCTTGTATTTGAGTAAAAGTAGAAGTACTCAGATCTTGTACTTGAGTTAAAGTAGAAGTACTCAGATCTTGCACTTGAGTAAAAGTAGAAGTACTCAGATGTTGTACTTGAGTAAAAGTAGAAGTACTCAGATCTTGTACTTGAGTAAAAGTAGAAGTACCAGAGTGTAGGAATACTCTGTTACAGTAAAAGTCCTGCATTCAAAATGTTCCTCAAGTAAAAGTAGAAAAGTATTATCATCAAAATATAGTGAAAGTCGCGACAGTAAAAGTAGTCATTGTGCAGATTGGTCCATTTCAGAATAATATATATGATATGTTTTATAATGATTGATCATTAAAGTGTTCTCAAAGCTGTATATAATAATGTAATAAATAAATTCATTTCTGTTAATGTATCGTACGTTGACATTGTAGTACTCAGCATACATCAGATATTAAACTGGTTCTCACCTCCTGTCTCATTTCAGAATACAGGAATTCAAAGTAGCGTTGAGTGAAGAGAACATCAATCTGGAGACGCTGAGGGAGCTGTGCTTCAGCGGTAACTTTAACATCTTAATGTTTATTTATCTGAGTATTTCATTGTTCTGTATTTGACCATCCTTTTCTCTATTCAACCCAGGAATCCCGTTTGAAGGAGGCATACGAGCCCTTTGTTGGAAAGTAAGTAAAAGGTTGTGCACCACATGGAAGAACTTCAGTGTTCTTATGATTAACCTCTCATTGTTTTAGCGACTCTGTAGATTTGGGTACTAGCACCGCCATGACACTACAAATTGTGCACTAAATAATTGAAAAGGTTGTAATGAAATTGACTGAAAGCATGTTCCTTAAACTCTAAAGCTGTTAAAGTTGCAGGATTTAGGATGATGCAACAAATATCCCAGGCAAAATACAGCAACTAGTTACATGGTCTGGGTGGCAAATCTTATATTTCCATAAGACTGTGAAGGATTTGGCTAAATGGTTTCACAGAATATTCTGAGTGTGACTGTTTTGCTCTCCTTTCAGATCCTTCTCAACTATCTACCTCTCGATCAAACATTATGGGAGTCTTTCCTCAAAAAGCAGAGGCAAGTTGTGTGGTGTGTGTTTGTGTGTGTGTGTGTGTGTGTGTGTGTGTGTGTGTGTGTGTGTGTGTGTGTGTGTGTGTGTGTGTGTGTGTGTGTGTGTGTGTGTGTGTGTGTGTGTGTGTGTGTGTGTGTGTGTGTGTGTGTGTGTGTGTGTGTGTGTGTGTGTGTGTGTGTGTGTGTGTGTGTGTGTGTGTGTGTGTGTGTGTGTGGTGTTGTGTGTGTGTGTGTGTGTGTGTGTGTGTGTGTGTGTGTGTGTGGTGTGTGTGTGTGTGTGTGTGTGTGTGTGTGTGTGTGTGTGTGTGTGTGTGTGTGTGTGTGTGTGTGTGTGTGTGTGTGTGTGTGTGTGTGTGTGTGTGTGTGTGTGTGTGTGTGTGTGTGTGTGTGTGTGTGTGTGTTCTTTTAACCACTTCATGCCATGTTGTGCTGCGTCTCTCGTAGGGAGGTGTACACCCAGTTCCTAAGAGAGATGATCATCCAGCCTGGCATCGCCAAAGCCAACATGGGTCTTTCCAGAGAAGATGTGACGATGGAAGACCATGTGAGTCCACTCTGCCTACTTGGCGTTTTTTCCTTTTTTCACTGCAGTGTTAAACTGAAATGAGGCCTGATTCAATAAAGCCATGCTGTGTGGAGTGCACTTTGGTCATAAGTAAGTAAGCAAAACAAACAGGCAATGTATGCAGGAGAATGTTAATAGATTAGCTTTAAAGAGGCAGTGTGGCCTGACGTATAAAGATTAACTTGTACTTTACGTGTATTAGTGAATTTCATTTTGACATCTGCCTATGTCCACTAGGAACTAAACATGGTGTCTGCACAAGACAGTGTGAAGGTGTATGTATGAAGACTCACACTGTCGTAGAAACCAAACCGCACAAGACTCTACTGTCTTTGTTGGCTTTGGCTTTTGTTTTGGAGTTTACTGTAAAGGAAGTGATTATTATTTATGTGTATCGTCTGTCTAGCAGCATGTCTCTGCTAACAGATCCCAGAGTCTGATCAGCTGTTTGCCTAAGTATTGTTTAGAAGTTCTCTCCCAGACTCTCTCACACACACACACACACACACACACACACACACACACACACACACACACACACACACACACACACACACACACACACACACACACACACACACACATCAGGCCAAATCAGAAAAATACACACAGCTCTCATAGATCTCAAACATATCTGTATAACTTACAGAAGCTATGTGATGTATTCCCACCCTTTTACTTTTGGAACACTTTATTGTCTTGCAGAGGGAATTTTAAATGAAGTAAATTGTCATTATTGGCCACTGAAGTACCCCGTAATGACAGAGGGAAAAGCTTGTTTTTAGATCTGTTTATTAAAGAACTAAATCACCTTTCTATTGCTTACAGTCCCATGTCTACCACAGCTTGAAATGTCCATTCACATGCAATCCTTGGTTAGATTTAGGCAAGGGAAAGAATATTGACACATTTCAGTATCACACTGACAATCAAATGATGAGGAACCGCTATAAATAAATAGTTAAATGAATGGATGAAACTGCTCATCTTGCCTTTTCCTCACATGTGTGTATTTTGTTTTTTCAGCCGCTAAATCCGAACCCAGACAGCAGGTGGAACAACTACTTCAAAGACAATGAAATTCTGCTCCAAATTGACAAGGATGTGAGGTACGGCTTAAATAAAAAAAGGTTGTTGAAGATCTGTTAAGATAGTTGATATGTTGTGACGTCATTGTCATTAGTACACTAACAGGTAGAGTATGCACTTGCTCTATTTCTATTCTATTGTCCATCCATCCATCCATCTTCTCCCTCTTATCCGTGGTCGGGTCACGGAGGTATCAGTTCCAGCAGAGAGCCCCAAACGTTCCCTTCCCCTCATCAACCAGCTCTGACTGGGGGGTCCCAAGGCGCTCCCAGGCCAGAGCAGAGATATAACCCCTCCACCTGGTCCTAGGTCTACCCCTTGGTCTCCTCCCAGCTGGACGTGCCTGGAACACCTCCCTAGGGAGGCGCCCAGGTGGCATCCTTACTAGGTACCCGAACCACCTCAACTGGCTCCTTGAGACGCGAAGGAGGAGCGGTTCAACTCCGAGTCCCTTCCGGATGACTGAACCTCTCACCTTATCCCTAAGGGAGACGCCAGCCACCCTGCGGAGAAAACCCATCTCGGCCGCTTGTATCCGCGATCTCGTTCTTTCGGTCATGACCCATCCTTCATGACCATAGGTGAGGGTAGGAACGAAGATGGCCCGGTAGACAGAGAGCTTTGCCTTCTGGCTCAGCTCTCTTTTCGTCACAACGGTAAAGCGACTGCAGTACCGCTCCCGCTGCTCCGATTCTCCGGCGCATCTCACGCTCCATTGTTCCCTCACTCGAGAACAAGACCCCGAGATACTTGAACTCCTTCACTTGGGCTATTCTATTGTATCTGTGTTATTGTGTTGCACTGTGGGAGGAGCCTGTGGCCTCAGATTTTCATTGACATATCTACACTGTAGCTATGTACACATGACAATAAAAAGCCTTGAATCTTGAAATCTTGAGAAGTAGATGAGAGCTGACGGGTGGTTGTTTTCAGGCGGCTGTACCCAGACATGGCGTTCTTCCAGCGGCCCACTCAGTACCCCTGCCAGCTGATCCTGGACCCTCAGAACGATTACGAGACGCTGCGGAGACGAGTGGAACAAACCACGCTGAAATCACAGACCGTTAACAGAAACCGCAGTGGAGTCACCAACGTAAGTGTGTGTGTGTGTGTCAAATGAACAGAGTAGGGAAATTATTTCATTCACAGCAGCGAGCTGTTCTGGCATTAACTTCTATAAAGGTGGAAAAAGCTATATAAATAAAAACTAAAAACAGCAGCAAGTGTATGTATACATATCTACAGTAGAAAGGACATTAACCACAAAGTGAAACCATGAATTCAAAGTCTTCAGCTTTAATCTAAATGTTCAAACTATTGCCGGTTAAATATATATTAGATCACAGATTCTATGATCTATTTTACTTTTAATGCCACAAACCATACAGCAACATTTGTGTTGTTGTGAGAGAGAGGAACGGCAGCACTGATGGAGGTTTTCTGTATCTGTCCGAGTAGCTTCACATTTCCTTTTCCTTTAAAGGTGGGGTAGGTAATTCACTTCAGAAACACTTTTTGTTATATTCCATGGAATGCTCTTAACATCCCGATAGCAATGAATACAATAAATGCATAAAAAAATATCATCTGTGGAAGCCGTAGTACTGTAAAAAGCACGACCAATCATCTTAGCCGGCCCGGCTAAAATAACTGGATGGCCTACCTGCCTGTCAGCCTTCCATCTGTGCACAAACTTATCTCGTGCCCTCATTGGTCATGTGCGTGTTCGTGTGTGTTGGAGGAGGGGCTCTGTAAGGAAGTCTGAAGGAAGGGGCAGATTTTTTTCGGTTGTGTACTTTCAAATTCTAGCGCACTCGAGCTGGTTTCTCCATTCTTACCTACCCTACCTTTAAGTTTGAATGTGTGTTTGGTGGCGTGATCATTATTATTTAGAGTCATTGTGTGCCTATTGATTTGAACACGATCCGTGTATCCATCATTTCCTGGTCTTCTCTAAAGAAGAGGGACCAATGAAAACGTTGTCATGTTGCCGTTGTTCAGCATGGAAACATTCATTAGCTAACAATGACATTATTGTTCTATTAATATAAAGGGAGGTCAGGTACTCTTTAAAACAGCTGCTAGTTATGGGTACTTTTTACTGAAGTACATTTCAAAGCCCTCTTTACTTTTACTTGAGTAAAGAAGTTTAGTCAGTACTTCTACTTTCACCAGAGTATTTTTAAACACGAGTATCTGTACTTCTACTTGAGTAAAGGATGTGTGTACTCCACTCAGCCCTCTCTGTAACCTCTCTGTGTTCCTCAGGTCAGCTCTCCAGGGAAGTCCTTGAACCTTTACCCCTCTAACGAGTACGAGGTGCTGCCCAGCGGGAGTGAGGCTCACTGGGAGGTGGTGGAGAGAATCCTCTTCATCTACGCCAAACTCAACCCGGGCATCGCCTACGTGCAAGGCATGAATGAGGTCGTTGGGCCGATCTACTACACCTTCGCCACGGACCCCAACAGCCAGTGGAAAGGTCGGTAACATCTCACCATTCAATTCAAATTCAAATGTTTTATTGTCATGTGCACAAAGCTAAAGTGTAGAAATGGCAATGAAATTCTTCTGACCTGAGCTCCTCCAACAATGCAACATATATACAAAATGCAAAATAGTCTATATACATGTAAATAGAATATGATATGTACAAGAACAGAATATGAAATTAAATAATGTACATTAAGACAAAATTAAATACGGTTTATTGCGGTGATAACTATTTAGATAAATAAGTAGATTGCCGGTATTGATGTTAACCGGGAGATATAATACACTTATGTAGCGTGGTAGAAGCTAGATAACAGAGATACAATTATATATTGCACAGAGTTAAATACAGATTCTTGTTACAGTATTAATATTGTCATACTAAGAAGGCAGGCAGTAATAATAATCATTTTAACTCGGTACATAATGCACATAAGTGTTATTGCACAGCAGTGGTGTCGCAGTGTTTGTTTGTAGAAAGTAAACATGAGCCCTTTGTGAGTCCTGTACTCTTTATTTCTCAGAGCACGCTGAAGCAGATACGTTCTTCTGCTTCACCAACCTGATGTCAGAGAACAGAGACAACTTCATCAAGAGCCTCGACGACTCTCAGTGCGGCATCACGTACAAGATGGAGAGCGTGTACTCCATGCTGCGAGAGAGAGACCTGGAGCTCTACCTCAAGCTGGTAAACATTCCTACTTCCTGCTCCTTTTCTGCTCCTGAACATAAGAACGTTCTCTCTGTGGGTTGAAGTAGTGGAGTACAAATACTTTGTTACTGTACTTAAGTACATGTTTCTGGTATCAGTACTTTACTCCACTACTTATTTTTCTGACGACTTTTTACTTTGACTTCTTACATTTTGAACACAAATACCTGTACTTTCTACTTCTTACATGTTGAACCCAAATACCTGTACTTTCTACTTCTTACATGTTGAACACAAATACCTGTACTTTCTACTTCTTACATGTTGAACACAAATACCTGTACTTTCTACTTCTTACATGTTGAACCCAAATACCTGTCCTTTCTACTTCTTACATGTTGAACCCAAATACCTGTACTTTCTACTTCTTACATGTTGAACCCAAATACCTGTACTTTCTACTTCTTACATGTTGAACCCAAATACCTGTACTTTCTACTTCTCACATTTCCCAAACAGGCTGGTTCCTTTAGTTTGAATGTGTGTTTGGTGGCGTGATCATTATTATTTAGAGTCATTGCGTGCCTATTGATTTGAACACGATCCGTGTATCCATCATTTCCTGGTCTTCTCTAAAGAAGAGGGACCAATGAAAACGTTGTCATGTTGCCGTTGTTCAGCATGGAAACATTCATTAGCTAACAATGACATTATTGTTCTATTAATATAAAGGGAGGTCAGGTACTCTTTAAAACAGCTGCTAGTTATGGGTACTTTTTACTGAAGTACATTTCAAAGCCCTCTTTACTTTGACTTGAGTAAAGAAGTTTAGTCAGTACTTCTACTTTTACCAGAGTATTTTTAAACACCAGTAACTGTACTTCTACTTGAGTAAAGGATGTGTGTACTTTTGCCCTCTCTGCCCCCCCCCAGGAGGAGCAGAACATCAAACCGCAGTACTTCACTTTCCGCTGGTTGACCTTGCTGCTCTCTCAGGAGTTCCTCCTGCCCGACGTCATCCGGATCTGGGACACGTTGTTCTCCGACCAGGACAGATTCCACCTCCTCATCCTGGTCTGCTGCGCCATGTTAATGTGAGCCTCCTCTCCATGCTCTCTGCACTTATTTCAATGTTTAAACACGAGTATCTGTACTTCTACTTGAGTAAAGGATGTGTGTCCTTTTGCCATCCCTGCCACCACAGACTCATCAGAGATAATTTACTGGCCGGAGACTTCACGGTGAACATGAGACTCCTGCAGGTGAGGCTTTTTATAAATCACCGTGAAGCGTAAAAACCCCAAAGCTTCATAATCAGACACGATGTTTCAGAACTGGATTCACTCTTGATTTTCACTGATGTTTCCCCAGGATTACCCCATCTCAGACGTCAACACCATCCTGATTAAGGCCAAAGATCTGCGGGATACTTCCTAACCTGTTTTCTAACGTGGAAGGTGAGAGTTCGAACATTACGAATCATTGTCGTGTCAAACGTGTTGTTGGAGGACTTATGATGGGTTCGTACAGACGGGAAACCCAGCATTCTGTTTTTTTTTTTTTTTACCTTGATGTCTTATGATTGGTCAGTGGGGGACTGCTGTGAAAACATTTAAGGGACAAGCTGAATTTTTTTCCTGAAGTGAGGAGGAGATGCCACCTGCTTCCTGATGCATTATGGGAAGAAAAAAAGCAGGTGTTCCTCCTCCAATCACAGCCATGGACCCTCTTCAGATCACGATGCTTTTACTGAACTGAATCTGAGGGACAGGAGCTCCGTTACACTACAGATCCAGTTTTGAAAACCGAATGTTGAACACCTCATCCAGGAGTTCCCCACGCAGAAGTTTCACCGAGCAAAAGTGCATGTTTGTTCTTTGAGGGATGTGTTTTTTTTATTTCGTTTTTATTGTAAGCAACAGCCTTCTCTGTGTAATTATGTGAAAACAGGAGATGGTGTTTCTGTGTTCATTTCTTTCAGGGTAAAATAAATCTGAAGTGATGGGCCTGGCCTGGTAAATACTTCATTAGTAATCTCCTTAAAACCCATTATTCCTTCAGTGTTATGTCTAAAAACAATGCCTTTTGTTCCATTGGGAATGTCATGTGATGCATTTCCTTGTAAAATCACATTATTTATAGAGAAGGGCAGTAGGGGCTCAGTCAGTAGGGGCTTGGACTGTGAGCCGTAGGGTCGCCGGTTCAAGTCCCCGACCAGACCTAAAATATGGAGTGTGGACTGCTACTTGTAGAGGTCCCAGTTCACCTCCTGCCCTGCCGTGGTGCCCTTGAGCAAGGCACCAGACAGCCCCCTTCCCCTCTCACTCCCATTGCTCCCCGGGTGCTGTACAATAGCTGCCCACTGCTCTTAGTACTAGACTCCTGGTACTAGGATGGGTTAAAAGCAGAGAACAAATGTCACTGTGTGTGCTGTGTGCTCTGCATGTGTGACCATTAGAGGGTTTCATCTGTGGCGCTGCTTCACACTGAACATGATTTACAAACCTGGGTTTACGAGGATTAGTATTGTAATAAAGCATTACAACCATTTATTCTATATATTGAACACAGTGCAATACTGATACCACAGTTATACTTTTTACATTACTTGAGAAACATAACCATGTTTTCCTATAATTACCCAAGGAGTCGATGTGTTGAGAGACCTCAAAGAAGACTTGTGCCTAAAAGAAGTGTTGAATCAACAAAAAACTCCGATTTAAATCTGAAAAGAGAAGATTAGCATTCTGACCTCAATGCCATGCTGCCCATGAGTAACGGCTTTAATCCCCTGTGGTGAGGAGTTATCCGGTCAGCAACAGAAAAAAGAGATTTAAAACCTAATATCAAACTTTAATTTAGTGTAGAAGGGAAAGTAAGACATATTTTGTGGCCAACAAACACCATAAAATGTGGTCGGTTGCATAAAACACTTCACTCTTGCACGTGAGAAGACTAAAGCTACATTATTCTATTTTCCCTTTGCAATAATAAACATTATTTTCTAATAATTGTAAAGCCTGTGTGCATTATTAAATGATAAACACCTGAAAACACCACATGCTTGCATTGTGTCAATACAACTAGCATAAGTATATGTCTTCTGTATTAAAGGCTAACTTGTGTTCAGTTAACCCATTACTTTACAAAACACACATTTGACATATATCAAATCGTTATGGTAGCTGCCAGTGGCGGACTAGCCATCGGGACGTTCGAGACGAATCCCGATGGGCCGGCCCGGTACTGAAGTGGGGCGGTCGGACGATGTGGGCCGGTCGGATAAGTCACTAGCACCCCTCCGTTGACAATTTACTAGCGGTATTAACTTGCGGTACCGAGGTGGGCCGGTCGGATAAGTCACTAGCACCCCTCCCCCCGTTGACAAGTTACTAGCGGTACCGAAGTGGACCGGTCGAGAGTCCCGGGCTGATTTTTACTCCCAGTCCGCCCCTGCTGCTAACAGTTAGCATTACATCAGCTACAAGCAGCTAGCATAGCATGTGACTGCAGACTGGAGAATATCTTCGAAGACCTTTAATAGAACAGAGAAGATGTTAAAACCGTCTTCACTTGATGATTAATATGAACCTTTCTTAACAAGTTGCTTTGTTAACATGGAGTTTATATCCTAGCACAATGCAGTCTGATGGTGTTCAGTGTGAACAGAAACACAGCGTGGTGGTTTAAATCTCTTTTATAGTTTCATCTTGTGTTCTGCACATACTATCTGATCATGGATTGAGTATATCAAGCTTAACATTTGAATGGAAATGTGTATCTGCAAACATATTGTAAAATATCCAGCCTTGCCATCGTGATGAAGGTGACTCAATTAAGCATTTAATTCATACTGAAGAGACGTACGTTGTGATGAAATGCTTTCAAATATTAACATGAGTAAGGGTGAAATGGAAATGGTTGCTCAATCAGTGTCATTTCATTTTGTACATACTGCATTTTTTTTATATGTGCATGGCGAAAGTGGAAACGGATATAATTTCAAGAGCGACTCAAGTATTTCAATCAGACTTCATTTAGTTTAAAGAACATTTATTGACACATGTCATATGATAAATGTTAAGTCTTTGGCGATTAGACCCCGATCCTGAATCGTATATCTAAAGGGGGAAATGCAGCCGTGAGCATATAGGGAACCCCCCGGGGTCTAGACACTGGTGATGATGCTGAAGATCTGGATTTGATGAGGAGGTGAATGGGGAGGAGGTGTGATGAGGTATTTGGATTAGCTCTCCTGGCACTGGATGTGATGAAAGGAGGAGGATGGGGAGGAGGCGGGCGGCAGCATGAACACCTGAAATCACAGCTGACTGCAGGAGAGAGGAGAACCATTTTAAAGTTTGGCTGCAGCACAGTGATTGGCTGCTGGAGAATGAGGTGAAATGTAATAGGTTAAAGCAGGGGTGTCAAACTCAAATACACAGTGGGCCAAAATTAAAAAATGGGTACTAGTCGAGGGCCGGACTGGTTCAATGTTTATTGCAAGACTTATTGAAATGAACTTATTGCACATATTAAACCTGAAACTAACAAAGCTTAAATGATTGCCTATAAAAACAACATTAAACATTAAATAATCAGTTGCATTCATTTCTTATGGCTCTATCTGTAGCTTGTCCAGAGTCATTTCTTATCATTACATTTCTCCACAGGCCAACAACAGCTTAAAAAAAACTATTTCCCTCAAAGAGAAAACCAAACATGCCCTGTTGTCGTGAGAGAAAAAGTGCAGAAGGAAACATCCATGTAAACTCAGTGTGCTGCTCTGTGATGCTAGCTCAAGCCAGATACTTGGCATCTCATCTTGGGTGCAAGTTCATCAATGTTTGGGGTCAGGCTCTGAGCTGAGGAAACCCTCAGGATGGAGTGAAGGTGTGCGTGCAATATACCGGCGGGCCAGATCTAATAGTAATTAGAAATTATCCTGCGGGCCGAAATTAAATCCACCAAGGGCCTGATTTGGCCCCCGGGCCTTGAGTTTGAAACGTGGGTTAAAGAGACGCCTGTGATGAGCTGATTATATGCAGCTGTGGATTGAATGTATATATAGGCCTACCCAGTTTTCCTGAAAGAACTTGAGCTGAGCTTCATTTCTGTAACGTACCATTTAAATAATCTATATAAGCACTCCGTAGACGGGACATTACAATCTCTTCTTTGTTTCTCCTCGACCGAAGATCAAATGTTACTATTAAACACACTATTAAATGTTTTTGTAATGTGGTTGAGGGTTGTGTGTGTGAGGCTCTGTTTAATTTCAACAATATGGAACAATACAGCACTTTCACATGGTGTTAATAAGCCATAAGTGCTCTTTCATTATAACTGAAAAGAGTGTTTGATATCATTGTCAGGTTTTCATTTGGATTAAACACATAAAAGTAGTCGCTCAGTCAGTAGGGGGTTGGACTGTGAGCCGTAGGGTCGCCGGTTCAAGTCCCCGACCAGACCTAAATATGGAGTGTGGACTGCTACTTGGAGAGGTCCCAGTTCACCTCCTGGGCCCTGCCGTGGTGCCCTTGAGCAAGGCACCGGACTCCCCGGACTCCTGGGTTAAATGCAGAGAACACATTTCACTGTGTGCTGTGTGCTCTGCATGTGTGACCATTAAAGAGGGGTTTCATCCCTCTGATTCTAGAAGATTCTAGAAAAGCTACATAATATCTCTTATATGACCTCTAGCTCTAAAACCACAGTGACACAGACATGTCAGAGAGGAGTGCAAATTTGATTATGATTATAAAAAAGTTATTTTGCAGCGATTGCTACTTGACATTTCTGCAGGACTTTCACATGTCTTGTGTGTAAAGATGAATTTGGAGATCTACTCTACATCCAGCAACTTAGAAATATCCAGAATATTCCCTTCAGTTACAAGAAGAGCAAGCTTTCTAACACCGAAACTAAGACATTAGGCATTTGCATTCATCTTTTTTGGGGGGGGTATTTTCAAGAGACCATTACTAATTGATGGCAATTATTAGGATGTATTTATTTTTGTGTGTGTGTGTGTGTGTGTGTGTGTGTGTGTGTGTGTGTGTGTGTGTGTGTGTGTGTGTGTGTGTGTGTGTGTGTGTGTGTGTGTGTGTGTGTGTGTGTGTGTGTGTGTGTGTGTGTGTGTGTGTGTGTGTGTGTGTGTGTGTGTGTGTGTGTGTGTGTGTGTGTGTGTGTGTGTGTGTGTGTGTGTGTGTGTGTGTGTGTGTGTGTGTGTGTGTGTGTGTGTGTTGTGTGTGTGTGTGTGTTGTGTGTGTGTGCTTTGTCTTATGTCCGTTATTTGCATGTTTCCCATTTGTAAGCACATTTTATAACGTATGTATTTGTATACAGTGATGAGACGTGTATATATGTTTTTACATGTTTGCAGATGTGCATTAAAATGAATGATGGTATAAATCTGTCTTTGTGAAGTGGTGTGATTATTTTTAATTAAATCATGCTTCTAATGTTTGGAAACCTTTGAACAGATATTTGTATATGATTAATAGCAGAGGTGGAAGAAGTACTAAGGTTTTGTACTTGAGTAAAAGGAGAAGTACTCAGATCTTGTACTTGAGTAAAAGTAGAAGTACTCAGATCTTGTACTTGAGTAAAAGTAGAAGTACTCAGATGTTGTACTTCAGTAAAAGTAGAAGTATCAGAGTGTAGGAATACTCTGTTACAGTAAAACTCCTGCATTCAAAATGTTACTTAAGTAAAAGTATAAAAGTATTATCATCAAAATATAGTTAAAGTAGCGACAGTAAAAGTAGTCATTGTGCAGATTGGTCCATTTCAGAATAATATATATGATATGTTTTATAATGATTGATCATGAAAGTGTTCTCAAAGCTGGTAAAGGTGCAGCTAGTTTGAATGACTTTGTATACTGCAGGGTAGCTTGTGAATTTACTCCAGGTGGAACTAAAGTCTGATTTAACACTTGATTATATTTCACATCATTCATCCACATCTGTAAAGTAACTAAAGGTATAAATACATGTAGTGGAGTAAAAGTACACCATGTACCTCTGAACTGTAGAGGAGTAGAAGTACACAGTAGCATACAATGTACAGTACAAGTGCCTCACAATTGTACCTAAATACAGTACTTGAGTAAATATACTTAGTTACTTCCCTTCTCTGCTTACACGTTTTGTTCAGTAGGATAATCTCCACATATTAACACCACTTTTATGTTTTTTTAAAAGTAAATGCAATCAGCAGAAGTAAAAAAGATAACGTTAGGCTACAGAGGTCACATGGCTGTCGCTAAGCTAAAGGCAGCTAATGTTTGCCATGAGTTAGTTAGCAACTACCTTAAAATCTCCTGATATTCAACAGTTCATCAACATCTCTTAAGCTTGTATTTATCGTGGAAATGTATAATTTAAGTATCTTTTCAGTTGTATGTAACCAGTTTCTTCCTCGGCTCACAGGCTTCTTCACACCTTTGATTCACATGTCTACCATTTGCTTTTCTTTGCTTTCAACCGACTGAAGGGTGTCGCTTCGACCATTGTTAGGGTGGGAATTATCATATGGATGTTAGCTTTGTAATTTCCATGCAATCACTTTCACGTCTGGCCACCATTTCAATAGCCTGTAATGTAAATGTGGGTTTGCCTTAATCAATGTATTTAAACAAGGACCATGCATACAAATACTTTAATCTCAGAAAAGAGAAGAGGGGATTAAATGCCAGATTTTAGCAAATGGCTTATTTACATCTGCAGTCTTTATGCAGGTGAATAACAATCAACAGACACTAAAGACATTGCATAATCTTACACAAACAGGGACAGGAAAACATTCCTGCCTAAACTGCAAAAACTTGGCAGAGAAATAGCTTTTCTTCTTTTAAGGTTATTTATATAGTTAAATTAAAATGTGGTGTAAATCCTTGTCTTTAGCATCCTTTTTTAATGCTAAATTGTTTCCGGGGGACCTCCATGGGGCCTTATTTCGGAAAAAGTATGCATTGAAGTCAATGGGGAGAGAAAGATTATCTTTCGATCCCGTTTGAATTGTGCCACGAATTACACATATGATGTTTGTCAATTTAAAAGATAATTTAAAAGTCAAAAAAATACAAATGTGTCGTAAAACTGTGAAGTAACACATTTGTTTGTGTGAAACCGCTCAATGAACTACATCTCCCGTCTCGCACCACACACCAAGACGGCCGTCACGTTGGCACATTTCACTTCTTTCTTTCAGAATGAGGCGGAAAGTATTAAAAGAGGTGAAAATCACTCCAAGTCTGGGCATGTTGAGAGCTGTACATACACACAAGGGGAGTTAGTCGGTTCCTAAGAGCCAGCATGCGGGACCGGGACTCTGGGATTTGTAGTCTTTCTAGTTGCGTATTTTTCATAGTCTGATATTTCAACAGTTTTACGACAAACTGTGACTTTTTTTACTTGCAAAATTATCTTTTAAATTGACAAACATCATATGTGTAATTCATGGCACAATTCAAACGGGATCGAAAGATAATCTTTCTCTCCCCATTGACTTCAATACATACTTTTTCGAAATAAGGTCCCATGGGTCGGAAGTAGTAGCCTCTCTATTATCCTTATATATTTCTTTTTAAATTCCTTGTATGTGTTAACGTACCTGGCAATAAACTGGATTCTGATTGTTCATTTCTTACCAGAAGGTGATTCATTAGGGAATTTTCCACCACAGTATTAACCACATTTTCTAAAAATGCGAACTCATTCCCAGCGTTAGGACTTATTCCTGCACCTCTGTATTGTGCAGAGAGGCTGTATTTTTACATCTTAATAGCAAACTCATTGTATTTTCACTCACTGGTACATTTCCTGCTCTGACTAATGAAAAAACGTGTTTTATTCTTCAGCCCTCCATGTTACGAGGGACCACTTAGAACAGGGGTGTCAAACTGCTAAGATCGGTACAAGTCGAGGGCCGGACTGGTTCAATGTTTATTGCAGAACTTATTGAAATGAACTTATTGCACATATTAAACCTGGAACTAACAAAGCTTAAATTATTGCCTATAAAAACAACATTAAACATTAAATAATCAGTTGCATTCATTTCTTATGGCTCTATCTGCAGCTTCTCCAGAGTCATTTCTTATGATTACATTTTCCCACAGGCCAACAACAGCTTCAAGAAAACTATTTCCCTCAGAGAGAAAACCAAACATGCCCTGTTGTCATGAGAAAAAAAGTACAGAAGGAAACATCCATGTAAACTCAGTGTGCTGCTCTGTGATGCTAGTTCAAGCCAGATACTTGGCATCTCATCTTGGGTGCAAGTTCATCAATGTTTGGGGTCAGGCTCTGAGCTGAGGAGACCCTCAGGATGGAGTGAAGGTGTGCGTGCAATATACCGGCGGGCCAGATCTAATAGCAATTAGAAATTATCCTGCAGGCCGAAATTAAATCCACCAAGGGCCTGATTTGGCCCCCGAGCCTTCAGTTTGACACACGTGTAAATATTAACAATAATAATAGATGCATTTTAATACCAGTTATTGTTTACTAAATTACTCTAAAATGTGAGTATTTCCTAAAAGAATAAACGATACTTCAGGATCAAGACAGTTTTGTTTTACTTTAAAGGTAAAGGGTTTAATACAAATATGGTTTGTTTCTTTATACAATTGGGGAAATGTCACATTCACCAGAAGAAAAGGAGTGTCTCTAAACCATATTTTTACTTACAACAATATTACAAATAAGAGGGCAATCGAAACCAAATGTGTATTTGATAACATTACATTTACATTAAATTGTATTTTGCTTTCGCTTTTATCCAAAGCGACTTACAAGTGCAAAAACCATAAAGATCCAAACTTTTACAACAAGGAAAGTGCAGATATATTCACTTCAAGCAAGTCATACCATTGCTAGTGCTGGGAAATTAGTTACAAGACCTTTTAGTGTTTTATTGTGTTTTTAATCAATATTGTACTTTACCTTTTGTTTTATCACTTTTTTCTTTATGTTTTATTATGTTATATGTTTTCCTGTGTTCTCCTTATGTCAATATTGTGTGTGTTTACAGTGTTTGATGTACATATATATATTTTCTTTAATAAAGGAAATAAAAAAAACTGTGGGCCAACGGATCTGACCCAGTCACGTGGTATCGACGGACTACGTCACGACGTGTCCGTTAGCGCGTTCGCGTGCAGGATCGGCCACAAACAGTTGTGTTTGAAACCAACTAGAGGAGAGTTATTAAACCCTCCGACAGATAGTTTGCTTCGGTCCTAGATCAACCAGCTGCTCCACCTGACCAGAGGCCTGTATGCGGCTCAACATACCCGGGATATCTGCCTGTTATTCGGCCAAAACAACCCTAACGGTCCGCGGACCGTTATACGCCTCGGTGAGTCAACAGGGTCCTAAGTTCAGACAGGCCTGTGAGCGCGTTCACGTGAAAGGGGCGGAGTTAGCAGCATTTGACCAATCAGGGACAAGTAGGTTTACATCAACACAGGTAAAAAGTAAGAAAAACAACACAAAAATCTAATAAAAACTATTATATGTTAAGATATAGATTTTCTTTTACATAAAATCTTGATATACTAAAAAACTACGTGCAGTATACTATTGCAAAGTACTCAGAATAATAGAAAATGTGCAGTATTGTTAAAGTGGATGAGAGGAAGCTTACAACTCATACACACAAAAGAGGGAAATTGCATCATAAAGTGAAACAGTGGCAGTCTTAATAAACGAGTGGTTTATTCTTCATAAATCATAAATAAATTCTCCTAATTTCAGTCATAAATTGTCATTTGTGCATGAGTGATACAAATCATGGACGTGTAAATCATTGATAGTGAATCATACGTAAGCTTCATTTATAATTAGTAGCTTCATAGGTGGTTCCAAAGTTCACGTTTTATCTCCTGTGGGACCGTCGACAGCTTGTGAAAAGGTTGATCAGCCTCAGTGTGTGAAGTGTAGACGGCCATCAAGTGTTTGCATTTGTTACTTGAGGAAAGAGTCCAATTGTACTTCAGAGTGGTGAGTAGTGCATGCTTTGTGTGGTGTTTTAATACAATCTAGCACTTTCATGATTCATTGACTAAAAAAGTAAAAGGAGATTTTAAGTGTTCAATGTTGGTTTTAGGTTAAAGGTCTCCTATTACACTGTTTTTCATCAATATACTATAGGTCTCAGATATATACAGAACATGTCTCTGATTGGCTGAAACACCAAACAGATCATTCCAGCATCCCATAACCCCCTCTGTTTCAGCCCTTTAAATGCGAATGAGCTGCTGCTGGAAGTGATTGGTTTAAAAAAACACAATGGTGCTCTGGGAGGAGATTCAGGTGATAATCTGTGTTAGCTTAAATCCAGATTTACTGACACATTCACCTCAACTGCTCTAATCAATATTCTACAGTCTATACTAACAGCTGACGGACATCTGATGAGTGACAAGAGGTCCAACCAGACCTTGGTTTTATTACCAAGTAGGTTTACACATACAAGGAATTTGCTTTTGTGTACATTTTAACAAACAAAGAAACTGTAATAATGTATGTATAAAACATCACAAATACTATATTCAAAGAGGAGAGGTGTGCAGGTTTGAAAAGAGGCAAAGTGTCGTGCAGTGTCATATAAAGCAGGATTGTAATGGGAATTTTACCTGTTCCAATGTCCTATATCCTTTGCCATTACTTCACAGGAGCTTTTATACACCCGGTGCAGCTAAACCCCGCCACCAAGTGTTCAAAAATAATATTGCACTATACATATAAATAAAGTAAACTGAGACACCAACAACACCCATAAAATGGCTCCTAGAAGGATATTATATATACATTAATTGTGCAAGGAATGGATTATTAAATTGGATATAAATGTAAAATGTACAGTGGGATTTTAAGTCCAGTTATCAAGAGAAGCTTCTCTGCCAATAAACAAATAAATGAACGCTTCCTTAGCATGTCACTGAAATAACTGAGAGTATTTATTTTTCCCAGAATCCCCAGGTGTGAGCGATGCAGTTCTGCAGTACTCGGGGTGGGGTCCATGGATGGGACTTCCAGCAGGTGCTTTTCTCCGGTTTTGCTCCAGACGGAGGGATGTTCATGCCTGAAAGTGTTCCTGTGCTGAGCCCCGAGACCCTGAGCAGCTGGGGGGGGCTGAGCTACACCGACCTGGTGGTGGAGGTGGCCTCTCTGTTCATCCCCCCCCATCTGATCCCCAGAGAGGACCTGGAGGGTGAGATCTCAGTCCCACAAAACACCTCATTTGATCACAGATGGCAAAAGTACACACATCCTTTACTCAAGTAGAAGTACAGATACTCGTGTTTAAAAATACTCTGGTGAAAGTAGAAGTACTGACTAAACTTCTTTACTCAAGTCAAAGTAAAGAGGGCTTTGAAATGTACTTCAGTAAAAAGTACCCATAACTAGCAGCTGTTTTAAAGAGTACCTGACCTCCCTTTATATTAATAGAACAATAATGTCATTGTTAGCTAATGAATGTTTCCATGCTGAACAACGGCAACATGACAACGTTTTCATTGGTCCCTCTTCTTTAGAGAAGACCAGGAAATGATGGATACACGGATCGTGTTCAAATCAATAGGCACGCAATGACTCTAAATAATAATGATCACGCCACCAAACACACATTCAAACTAAAGGAACCAGCCTGTTTGGGAAATGTGAGAAGTAGAAAGTACAGGTATTTGAGTTCAACATGTAAGAAGTAGAAAGTACAGGTATTTGAGTTCAACATGTAAGAAGTAGAAAGTACAGGTATTTGTGTTCAACATGTAAGAAGTAGAAAGTACAGGTATTTGAGTTCAACATGTAAGAAGTAGAAAGTACAGGTATTTGTGTTCAACATGTGAGAAGTAGAAAGTACAGGTATTTGTGTTCAACATGTAAGAAGTAGAAAGTACAGGTATTTGTGTTCAACATGTAAGAAGTAGAAAGTACAGGTATTTGTGTTCAACATGTAAGAAGTAGAAAGTACAGGTATTTGTGTTCAACATGTAAGAAGTAGAAAGTACAGGTATTTGTGTTCAACATGTAAGAAGTAGAAAGTACAGGTATTTGTGTTCAACATGTAAGAAGTAGAAAGTACAGGTATTTGTGTTCAACATGTAAGAAGTAGAAAGTACAGGTATTTGAGTTCAAAATGTAAGAAGTAGAAAGTTCAGGTATTTGTGTTGAAAATGTAAGAAGTAGAAAGTTCAGGTATTTGTGTTCAAAATGTAAGAAGTCAAAGTAAAAAGTTGTCAGAAAAATAAGTAGTGGAGTAAAGTACTGATACCAGAAACATGTACTTAAGTACAGTAACAAAGTATTTGTACTCCACTACTCAGTAGGTCAGGTACTCTTTAAAACAGCTGGTAGTTATGGGTACTTTTTACTGAAGTACATTTCAAAGCCCTCTTTACTTTGACTTGAGTAAAGAAGTTTAGTCAGTACTTCTACTTTCACCAGAGTATTTTTAAACACGAGTATCTGTACTTCTACTTGAGTAAAGGATGTGTGTACTGTTGCCCTCTCTGGTGAAATCCACAGACTAACACCTGCTCTCTCCTCAGGGTTAGTTAATGAGGCTCTGAGTGGATTCTCAGTGCCCGAGGTGGTGACTGTCGCCCGGCTGAAGGACGGTCTGTCGGTCCTGGAGCTTTTCCACGGAGAAACCTTAGCCTTTAAGGACCTGGCGATGACCTGCACCGTGCGCTTCCTCGACTACTTCCTGCAGAAACAGAATCGCAGAGCTACAGTCATTGTGGGTAAGACCTCACAGCTGTCATGTGATCACCAAGGAACCTGCTTTATCTGGTCTACAACATGGAGGGGTGAACATTAAGGGGAATATCTGACACAAAATATGTTTGATGAGTTAGAGCCAAGTAGACCTTGATTTGTTTTAATCATAGTGATAATTACACTTTGATTATCATCACATTCATGCTCCCCAGAGGACGCACTAATCATAGATGATAAATGTACGGAATAACATTTTTGGGCGAGGATATAAATACAATTATTTGTCACATTATTTCCGATCCAAAACCTCAATGTGTGATGTCAGAATATTCATATTCTGTACAAACTGTAACGTCCCATGAGACAAGTGTGTGTGTGTGTGTGTGTGTGTGTGTGTGTGTGTGTGTGTGTGTGTGTGTGTGTGTGTGTGTGTGTGTGTGTGTGTGTGTGTGTGTGTGTGTGTGTGTGTGTGTGTGTGTGTGTGTGTGTGTGTGTGTGTGTGTGTGTGGTGCGTGCGTGCGTGCGTGCGTGTGTGTGTGTGTGTGTCTCTCTCTCTCTCTTTCTGTACAGTATATGCCAACTGTGTGTGTGTGTGTGTGTGTGTGTGTGTGTGTGTGCGCGTGTGTGTGTGTGTGTGTGTGTGTGTGTGTGTGTGTGTGTGTGTGTGTGTGTGTGTGTGTGGACAGTCACTAAGTACATTTACTCAAGTATTATTTGGACATAATTACTTGAGTACTTCTATTGGCTGCTACGTTATACTTCTACCGTCATACATTTAACACGTATGTCGTTTATTTGCGTTTCCATTTACTTGCAATTTGTGACACTTTCACCATTCTGTTGCATTAATATCTCATTTTTTATGTTAGAGAAGAAACAGCAATGTTTACAGTTGCAGAGGTACTGATCAACGTAGTAGGACTAGAGTGATTTTAACCATATCGCCCTAAAACCAGCTGATGGTTTCCCTCTCCAGGAACATCAGGAGACACGGGGGGGGTCGGCCATCCAAAGTGCGAAGGGTCTCAGAGGACTGGACGTTCTGGTGGTTTTTCCTCGAGGACGCATCACTCCAGTCCAGGAGAAACACATGATCACCTGCCTGGAGGACAACGTGCACGTGTTTGCAGGTAAATAAATAAAATATAAATAAATATTGGGAGGGATGAACCCCTCTGTAATGGTCTCACATGCAGAGCACACAGCACACAGTGACATGTGTTCTCTGCTTTGAACCCATCCTAGTACCAGGAGTCTAGTACTAGGAGCAGTGGGCAGCTATTGTACAGCGCCTGGGGAGCAATGGGAGTGAGGGGGGAAGGGGGATGTCCGGTGCCTTGCTCAAGGGCACCACGGCAGGGCAGGAGGTGAACTGGGACCTCTCCAAGTAGCAGTCCACACTCCATATTTAGGTCTGGTCGGGGACTTGAACCGGCAACCCTGCGGCTCACAGTCCAAGCCCCTACTGACTGAGCCACTGCCGGTAAAGGGGTGTGGCTTAGTACGGTATAGTTAGGCCTTGGTAGGCCAGGCTCACTTTATGCTGCGTTTCCATTACAGTTTAGTAGCTGGAGCAGTAACCATAGTAACGCAGTGTAGGCGGAGCCGTGACGTCATCTTCAATGCGAACCACAAAACCAACATCAGCCGTTAGCTGTTAGCACTCAGAGCTCACAGCTCCTCATATCTGTTCAGAAACTAGACAAAAGTTAAACAAGTACAAACCACAGACTGCCTGTGTCATGGTGAATACAGTCGCTGCTTTATTTATGTCTGTATAGGCCGTTGTTGTGAGTGTGGACGGTCGGAGCATATACTGCGTTAGCTTAGCCGATCTCCATTTAGAAAACACGCATTTTAAAAGGTGTTTCGCCTGCCGTCTGTCTGCAGACTTGACAAAGCATTAATTCATGGTTTTTACTAACCGGTATCAGTGTGTTGTTACTTCGGCATCATTTAGAAACGTGTATTACAATTAAATCACGGTAAAATATGTTCATTTTGTTGTAGTTGCCAGCGATTCTCTCACTAGTTTAGCATACTCAGCCCGGTTGTTGGCCCGGAAAGAACCTCGATTTTGGAGAGCCAGAAAACTGTGAAAAAGTACCCGTTAGCCGGAACTACCCCTAGTGGAAACGCAACCAAAAACGGGCCGGGCACGGCACGGCACGCTTAAACCGCTCTCCGCGCTGTAGTGGAAATGCGCCTTAAACATCTGAACTTTTGAAAGAAAAGAACATCCATAACATTCATCTGTTTGCAACTTACAAATTACTTATCTAATATATCATATTCCAATTAGACTCCCCTTGCACTATTTCTATTCTATTTTATTTGTATTTACTTGCACTATTTTAACAATTCTATCTGTTTTATTGCGTTGCACTACACTGTAGCTATGTACAAATGACAATAAAAGCCTTGAATGTTGAACCCCGTGTTGTTTTCCCTGCAGCTGACGGCAGCTCAGACGACATCGACCAGCCTCTGCGTCGCCTTTTTGCCGACCAGGATTTGGTGCGCGCTCACGGCCTGATGAGCCTGAACTCTGTGAACTGGTCCAGAGTCATGGTGCAGCTCGCTCACTTCATCTACGCCTACCTGCAGCTCAGCGGGGTCCAGCAGGCGGAGGGAGATCTGCCTGAACTGGAGGTGGTGGTTCCTACTGGGGGGGCGGGCAACATCGCAGGTGAGTCACTGGTGCAGACTGCTATGACAATGATGGGGGTCAAAACACATCCATCTCTCCAAAACATGTATGAGCAGCCCATTATTAGACAGGCACAAAACATGGTGTCCCACCTAGTGTTGTCACGATACCAACATATTTGTTTCGATACCGATACCAAGTGAAGAATTGCGATTTCGATAACCGTCTTAAATGTCATTATTGTGCTTTATTTCAAACCTGGATCTTTTTTTTCAGTCATAACACAAACTTTTGAACAATAACAAAACAAACGCATTCAAGATAAAATGACAAGAATCCGTATGAACTAAAATAGCAGCATCATCTCAAACAACTTGCCAAGTTTGATGTGTTGGCTCCCTTGGTTTGCAGGGATCTGAAACATTTCTCACAGACAGGCCTCGTGGTGTCCGTGGGCTTGCCCTCGCTGTCGGAGATTTAACCAAAATACTTCAAAATGTCGCTTCTTGCGTCTTTTTTGTCTACAGGGAGGCTGTGGCTCAGTGGATAGTGTGCTGGACTTCGAATCAGGGGATAGCAAGATCGAGTCCCACTGCAGTCAGCATGTCGTTGTGTCCCTGAGACACTTCACCCCAAATTGCTCCTGTGGGGATTGCCCACAGTATTGAGTATGTAAGTCGCTTTGGATAAAAGCGTCTAACAAGTGACATGTAATGTGATAATGTAATACAAGCCGAGGCGCATCCGCAATAGCAATCACACGCTTCTCGTTTCGTCACATGATAGGAGGCGTGTGACGCAGTGGGTTAGTGCGTTGGTGTTCGGATCAGGGGAGCACAGGTTCAAACCCTACTGCAGTCAGCATGTCGTTGTGTCCCTGGGCAAGACACTTCACCGCAAATTGCCCACAGTATTGAGTATGTAAGTCGCATGTAATGATATGAGAGCGTGCATGAGAGAAAGAAAACGGCACTGCAGGCACGGCGGCAGGGAGTGGAAGCAGAGCGCTGAACACACACAGGAAATACGGCTCTTATTAAAACATGTCATTCTTAAAGTACCGATACTAATGAAATGGAGGAATCGTAGCGTTTTTTAATGGCAGGGTATCACGATACTTTTCTAGTATCGGTGCAACACTAGTCCCACCCACATACTCCACCCAGAATTCCAGCTCCTCCCGTCTGGTAGGAGATACAGGGTTCCCAAGAGCAGGCTGAACCGCTATAAGCACTCATTCCTACCTATGCCCATTAAGCTTCTTAACATTCACATGAAATGAAATATACTTTTTAAATGTTGGCCATGAGGGTTGTGCAATAGGTCGCCATTGTCAGTATCTGCATCTGTGTATTGTGTTTGTTCAAACGGTGTATGAGTGATGATATGTGAATGTATTTTAATGTTTATTATGTTTGTATATGTACATGTATGTGGAACTCCAGAACAAATGTCCTTACCGGGACAATAAAGTATATCGTATCGTATCACTGCAGCTGGTGGGGAACTGGGTTAAAAGATGACTTCAGTCAACAATCCAGCGCTTGATTAACTAGTACTCAACTTAAGCTGAGTGTTTAATAATCAGGCTTGACAGTTGGGTTGGGAGGGTTACTTAAAAAATGTCCTCTGTTACAATAATTAGTTACAAAAAAAGGAATCAGTAACCTAATCTGAGTATCAAAATATAAAAGTAACCTGATCATAAATGTGTACTCTCGGTGGGCTGATTTTGACTACCATGAGTAGTGTTGCAACCATTGGATATAGAGAGCACAAGATGAACAGTATAATCATTTGTTTTCAAATAAATAGGCAATCTGTCCAATCCAAATGATCCAGAGTCCCCTAAATCCTCCAAATCGATCCAAAATTAAACAAAATCAGTCAACAGAGAGTACAGATATTGCCATTTTCTTGTTAAAACTGCCATTGTTGATCCTGAAAATATCATAAATGGACTCAACATCCTCAAACACCCCCGTAAATCACTCCAAATGTGTCCAAATCGGCCAAGCCACCCTTTTACTATTATTTAAATAGGCTATAATGCTATTCATTTTAATTAACGCAACTTATGCTAATTGTGCAAATTGCCCAACATATGCAGGTTAGCATCCGGTAGTTTCTATGTGCTGGGGACCCTTACTATACATTTCTGTGATATAACTTTGGGGTAATCAACAACTATGAGCCGGCAACAAGACTATTAAAGGTGGGGTAGGTAAGTTTGAGAAACCGGCTCGAGATACACTTTTTGTTATATTCCATGGAATGCTCTTAACATCCCGATAGCAATGAATATCTGAAGTGCTTTGACAAAAAATCCATAAAAAAATGTAATCTGTGGAAGCTGTAGTACTGTAAAAAGCACGACCAATCATTTTGTTCCCAACATGTGTGTCTGTCAGGTTAATGAGAAGGCTTTGTTTTGTCTCAGCTGGATACATTGTGAAGCAGATGGGATTGCCTCTGAAACTGGTGGCCATGGTGAACTCTAACGACATCGTTCACAGGACGGTAACCAAAGGGGACTTCTCCATGGCGGATAATGTCAAACAAACGTTAGCCCCCGCTATCGACATCCAGGTAATACTATCACCAGAGAGGCAAAAGTACACACATCCTTTACTCAAGTAGAAGTACAGATACTCGTGTTTAAAAATACTCTAATGAAAGTAGAAGTACTGACTAAACTTCTTTACTCAAGTAAAAGTAAAGAGGGCTTTGAAATGTACTTCAGTAAAAAGTACCCATAACTAGCAGCTGTTTTAAAGAGTACCTGACCTCCCTTTATATTAATAGAACAATAATGTCATTGTTAGCTAATGAATGTTTCCATGCTGAACAACGGCAACATGACAACGTTTCCATTGGTCCCTCTTCTTTAGAGAAGACCAGGAAATGATGGATACACGGATCGTGTTCAAATCAATAGGCACGCAATGACTCTAAATAATAATGATCACGCCACCAAACACACATTCAAACTAAAGGAACCAGCCTGTTTGGAAAATGTGAGAAGTAGAAAGTACAGGTATTTGGGTTCAACATGTAAGAAGTAGAAAGTACAGGTATTTGGGTTCAACATGTAAGAAGTAGAAAGTACAGGTATTTGGGTTCAACATGTAAGAAGTAGAAAGTACAGGTATTTGGGTTCAACATGTAAGAAGTAGAAAGTACAGGTATTTGGGTTCAACATGTAAGAAGTAGAAAGTACAGGTATTTGGGTTCAACATGTGAGAAGTAGAAAGTACAGGTATTTGTTCAAGATGTAAGAAGTAGAAAGTACAGGTATTTGTGTTCAACATGTAAGAAGTAGAAAGTACAGGTATTTGTTCAAGATGTAAGAAGTAGAAAGTTCAGGTATTTGTTCAAGATGTAAGAAGTAGAAAGTACAGGTATTTGTGTTCAACATGTAAGAAGTAGAAAGTACAGGTATTTGTTCAAGATGTAAGAAGTAGAAAGTACAGGTATTTGTGTTCAACATGTAAGAAGTAGAAAGTACAGGTATTTGTTCAAGATGTAAGAAGTAGAAAGTTCAGGTATTTGTGTTCAACATGTAAGAAGTAGAAAGTACAGGTATTTGTGTTCAAAGTGTAAGAAGTAGAAAGTACAGGTATTTGTGTTCAAAATGTAAGAAGTAGAAAGTACAGGTATTTGTGTTCAACATGTAAGAAGTAGAAAGTACAGGTATTTGTGTTCAAGATGTAAGAAGTAGAAAGTTCAGGTATTTGTGTTCAACATGTAAGAAGTAGAAAGTACAGGTATTTGTTCAAGATGTAAGAAGTAGAAAGTTCAGGTATTTGTGTTCAACATGTAAGAAGTAGAAAGTACAGGTATTTGTGTTCAACATGTAAGAAGTAGAAAGTACAGGTATTTGGGTTCAACATGTAAGAAGTAGAAAGTACAGGTATTTGTGTTCAAAGTGTAAGAAGTAGAAAGTACAGGTATTTGTGTTCAAAATGTAAGAAGTAGAAAGTACAGGTATTTGTGTTCAACATGTAAGAAGTAGAAAGTACAGGTATTTGTGTTCAAGATGTAAGAAGTAGAAAGTTCAGGTATTTGTGTTCAACATGTAAGAAGTAGAAAGTACAGGTATTTGTGTTCAACATGTGAGAAGTAGAAAGTACAGGTATTTGGGTTCAAAGTGTAAGAAGTAGAAAGTACAGGTATTTGTTCAAGATGTAAGAAGTAGAAAGTTCAGGTATTTGTGTTCAACATGTAAGAAGTAGAAAGTACAGGTATTTGTGTTCAACATGTAAGAAGTAGAAAGTACAGGTATTTGGGTTCAACATGTAAGAAGTAGAAAGTACAGGTATTTGTGTTCAAAGTGTAAGAAGTAGAAAGTACAGGTATTTGTGTTCAAAATGTAAGAAGTAGAAAGTACAGGTATTTGTGTTCAACATGTAAGAAGTAGAAAGTACAGGTATTTGTGTTCAAGATGTAAGAAGTAGAAAGTTCAGGTATTTGTGTTCAACATGTAAGAAGTAGAAAATACAGGTATTTGTGTTCAACATGTGAGAAGTAGAAAGTACAGGTATTTGGGTTCAAAGTGTAAGAAGTAGAAAGTACAGGTATTTGTGTTCAACATGTGAGAAGTAGAAAGTACAGGTATTTGGGTTCAAAGTGTAAGAAGTAGAAAGTACAGGTATTTGTGTTCAACATGTAAGAAGTAGAAAGTACAGGTATTTGTGTTCAACATGTAACAAGTAGAAAGTTCAGGTATTTGTGTTCAAAATGTAAGAAGTAGAAAGTACAGGTATTTGGGTTCAAAATGTAAGAAGTCAAAGTAAAAAGTCGTCAGAAAAATAAGTAGTGGAGTAAAGTACTGATACCAGAAACATGTACTTAAGTACAGTAACAAAGTATTTGTACTGCACTACTTCCCACCTCACTCAGCTTGTAGGAAGACCTGCTCATCAGTGAAGTCCCCAGAAAACATCTTGATCCATGTTAACTCACATTGACTTTCAGATAAAGGCTTAGAAGTAAATGAAATGTCCCCCATGATGAAAGTAAAATGGACATCCACTGCTTGTTCGTCCTGTAGGACCCGTACAACATGGAGCGGGTGTTCTGGCTGCTGCTGGGCAGAGACGGAGCTTCAGTGAAGAAGATGATGGAGGAGTTTCAACAATCACACAAACACTCTCTGCCAGAAAACCACCGCAAACTGGTACCAGTCATTCAACTTACAGATCAGATGCACTGGAGGCTCTTTGAGCAGGGTTTCTCTCACTGATCGTGCTGTTATGTTAAATGTTTGTTGTTTGTTTTTCATGTATTGCGTCTTGCTATTTGTCTGTTGATGTTACACATGGAGCTGCTGTGATGCAAGGAGCATTTCAGACTTGATCTGACCATTAAAGTATTATCGTATCGTAACTCTTACTACACTTTGAGACACCACTTCTGTGTTGTGTCCAGTGAAAAGCAGCCGGAAACCTGTTTGATCTGGTTGGGAAAATCCTGAATGTCCTCTTCCAATCTGAGAGTAGCATGATAACAAAGGTATCCCAACTGTAGCTGTGAACATGACAGGATGTATGATTACCTAGAAGAGCATCAGGACTGTTTGAGGCATATGATAGCTATGTGATTAACATGATGATTCAGCCTCTATGGAGATAGACATATGACAAGCATGATCATTTCTGACGTGGAGCTAATCTGAACTAAACATTGAATACTGCTTTATATTCCTCCATCTTGTGAATTTTGAGAGATAGTCAGAATTTTGAGATTTTGAGAAAAAGTCCGAATTTTGAGATTTTGGGAAAAAATACATAATTTTGAGAGAAAGTCCGAATTTTGAGAAAAAGTTTAAAAAAAATGATTTTGAGAAAAAAGTCAGAATTTTGAGAAAAAGTCAGAATTTTGAGAGAAAAAGTCAGAATTTTGAGAGAAAACTCAGAATTTTGAGAGAAAACTCAGTGTTTTGAACATGACAGGATGTATGATTACCAAGAACCGGTATTCCTCCATCTTGTGACTGTGTAACTCCCTCTCTTGGATATCAGCATGTGAAGGACACTGTTCAGGAACTAGTTGATGCTCTGTATGTGATGACTACTTCCATTCTGGAGAGGATCAGAGATACATGGATCCTGAGATTGAAGCTCAAGCCGGTGACGAGGGATATTGTTCTAACAGATCTGTTTCTCTTCCAGCTGTCCCAGGTGTTATCCACTGGATCAGTGAGTGATGAAGGCATCCTGGAGACCATGAGGAGGTGCTGGGAGGAGAACCAGTATGTCCTCTGTCCTCACTCTGCTGTGGCTGTGTGGCATCACTACCACTGTCCCCACAAACCCACCATCAACAGGTCAGCGTCCATCTGTTTATACACACACACACACACACACACACACACACACACACACACACACACACACACACACAGACACAAAAGCATAGGGTCAGAAGAAGAAAACACCCCATAACAAGTCATAATTAAATATTTTAGAGTGGTCACACAGCAGCTTGATGAGGCTGTCCTGTAGGAAAGGTCTGATCTAGTTTCTTAAAAAATGACTTGAACTCTTTTCACAGGTGTTACATCGCCACAGCATCTCCAGCCAAGTTCCAGGCAGCCGTGCAGAGGGCAGGTCTGACCTTTGACCTCCCGGAGGCAGTGCTGGCGTTGGATGAGCTGCCGACCCGGTACCAGAACCTGGAGCGGAGCGCAGACTGGTGCAAAGACTGGGAGGAGAGCCTGAGACAGAAAATACAGTCTGTGAGCTCATCCAGGAAAAACTGAGGGACTTAAAGGTCACCTGTTATGCAAAATCCTCTTCTTCATGTCTCTTCTACATCAACATGTGTCCTCTCTTCTTCATGTCTCTTCTACATCAGCATGTGTCCCCTCTTCTTCATGTCTCTTCTACATCAACATGTGTCCCCTCTTCTTCATGTCTCTTCTACATCAACATGTGTCCCCTCTTCTTCATGTCTCTTCTACATCAACATGTGTCCCCTCTTCTTCATGTCTCTTCTACATCAACATGTGTCCCCTCTTCTTCATGTCTCTTCTACATCAACATGTGTCCCCTCTTCTTCATGTCTCTTCTACATCAACATGTGTCCCCTCTTCTTCATGTCTCTTCTACATCAACATGTGTCCCCTCTTCTTCATGTCTCTTCTACATCAACATGTGTCCCCTCTTCTTCATGTCTCTTCTTCATCAACATGTGTCCCCTCTTCTTCATGTCTCTTCTACATCAACATGTGTCCCCTCTTCTTCATGTCTCTTCTACATCAACATGTGTCCCCTCTTCTTCATGTCTCTTCTACATCAACATGTGTCCCCTCTTCTTCATGTCTCTTCCACATCAACATGTGTCCCCTCTTCTTCATGTCTCTTCTTCATCAACATGTGTCCCCTCTTCTTCATGTCTCTTCTACATCAACATGTGTCCCCTCTTCCTCATGTCTCTTCTACATCAACATGTGTCCCCTCTTCTTCATGTCTCTTCTACATCAACATGTGTCCCCTCTTCTCCATGTCTCTTCTTCATCAACATGTGTCCCCTCTTCTTCATGTCTCTTCTACATCAACATGTGTCCCCTCTTCTTCATGTCTCCTCTACATCAACATGTGTCCCCTCTTCTTCATGTCTCTTCTTCATCAACATGTGTCCCCTCTTCTTCATGTCTCTTCTACATCAACATGTGTCCCCTCTTCTTCATGTCTCTTCTTCATCAACATGTGTCCCCTCTGTGTAAAGAGACTCTGAAAGTTTCAGGAACAAAGATTCTCTCTCTTTTTGTCCTGATCCATTTTTATAAAAACCTGTCTGAAAATGAGCTGATCAGATTTTGGCCACTTTGTGATGTCATAACGATGTTTTGTCTTGTGTAACCATTAGCCAATCAGCAACCAAGGTAACCCCCCCCCCCCCCACCTTATCACCTGAATCTCCTCCTAGAGCACCATTGAGTTCTTTTTAACCAAATCTCTCTCAGAGGGGCGTGGGGAGGGGCTCCTTATTTTCATCTGAAGTAACAGACAGAGAATCAGCACTTTGGAAACATGGCTGAAACAGAGGGGATTATGGGTAATGCTGCAATGATCTGTTTGGTGTTTCAGCCAATCAGAGACAGGCTCTGTATATATCTGAGACCTGTGATATATTGATGAAAGACAGTACATTAGGCGACCTTTAAAATGAAGCTATCTCACCCCTCCCATCAGCGATTATAGGCGCTCACTCCCCAGCTAAACCTATCACCTTCGTCTCTGTTTCCACAAGCCAATCAGAGCGCATCGTCACATCTTTAAATCTGCTCTCTCCCCTCCTCACAGCTGTTGACTCGACGCCACCCTCTTGCACCTCCTTTTCCTCATATCCAGGGTCAACTCAAATCACTCCCTTCAAGACCGGTTCTCCGACAAAACCCTTCATCCCTCCTCCTCACATCATGCTCGGTTTCCCCTTCCCCGGATATATTTCAGCACGATGGGGGCTAATAATAGCAAAACACTATTACATTAATCTCAGCAATAAATACAAATCAAAACAAAGTCTCTCCTGATTGAACTACAGCTGAAGAAATGTGTAACTAGAAAACTTGACTGGACATAGATCTGAGAAAGGGTGTGTCAGCTGGTCCTTGATCTGTGTGCTTTGTTATCTGGATGTAGTAAATGGTAAAAGTGAGTGCCTCTTTGATGGACTTTGGTCTGTAGTGTCGTACGATTTGTTTTCGTTTAGTGATGTCATCAAAGACTAACCAATCCACTCTCACTATGCTGAGTCTCTGAGTCTTCATTCCAAAACTGTAATACAATTGTTTTGAATGATAACAAATAAAATAAAACTTTCGTTCTAATTGCACAATTGACTCATGCCGTTTACTTTCCATAACTCACTCGTCTTAACTGTATTTATGTTGAATATTTTTTGTACTAAATCTATCACAGCAATGCTAAATGGAATATGAATAAGGATATGTTAGGCATATGTATTAACTTTACCGCAATATTTTTAGGATATACTGTAAATTGTAAGTGTACAGTCTAGCCTTTAGGTGGCGCCATAGCTCACACGAGACCAGATGTGTGAGAATGACCCTGTTGTAAGGACACTTGTTTAGCTGTTTGATTCCAGTTAATTGTCCAATTAATGTAATAAATAAATACATTTAATATATAAATATTAAATAAAAAGGTGTACTAAAATACATCTGTCTCCAGAGCTCAGAAAATATATCTTTAAAAGCTAAGAAGAGCGGAGACTATACCCAGGAGTTTCACAGATCAGGAGAACAATTAGATTTACTGTTTCATTTGTTTGAATTAAGGTGAGCACTTTAAAATGTCAATTTTAAATTCCCAAGTCAAATGCTTTGCGAAACCCCATAAAGCTGTTCCTGTAAATAACATACGAGTTCCCTAACATATTAGGAAGGTTAAAATGATTGCATTTTGGTTTAATTAAGAGCTAACCTGATGTCAACATACATACTAAGATGGAAACTACTGCAGAAAGTACTTGCAATGTTGAAGAAACGGGTACCTCCACTGGTACCAAAGGGGACAATAGAATAGATAGACAACAGAAAACAACATTGACCAACATAACATTTCATTTTCACTGATGGTTTTATTTTAATGTATTGTAATATGTTCACATGTTGCCCCCTTTGGTACTGTTTCAATCAAATTGACCTACAGAATACATAACTGAATATTAACATGTACATTCCCTCCCTACCCTTTATTTTCTTAAACCCATTTACTAACTCCCACCTCTGATGAATTTATTTGAGAAGTTACGGGAGAATTTACCGATAAAAAAAACCAACATCTGTCCCATTAATGTGAAACTGTGTTTTCCGAAGAGCCCTGAATGCAGCACGAGGTTTGACAGCTACAGAAACAAACATGGCGGATGCTAGCTAGCTCAACGGTCCAACATTAACGTCTTTTATTTGAAATTAACAGCTGTCAGGAAATAACGAAGGACGGTACCGATTCTCAGAGAGACACCGTGAACAACTGACCTCCATACTTTACCTTTACCGGGTTTTTATTCAGCAGTTGTCCGGTGTGTAGAGGCGGTTTGTTAGCTTCGGGAGAAACACAACAACAGAGCTGTCTTCCTCCTCTCTGCCCTCATGTTTAACAGGTAAGACACGGTTTTACCAAAATACTAATAATGATACACTTTATTTAATATACAGCACCTTTCAAAACATAATTACAAAGTGCTTTAACATACACATACAAAGACCGCAAGGGAATTACACGACAGCATCTAAACATGAAACATAGAAATAATAAAACAAAGAATACATGAAAAATACAATAAAAACAAGGTGTGTACAGGTCATTATAAACCAACAAAAGATGCTGTCTGTGTATCTACCTTCATTGTGATTATTGTCAGACAGTCTACAGATGTTTATCCTTCACGGTCACCTTTAATATTTTACGTTTGTTTATTTTCTACTCAAAAAGGATGTGTTTAAAAGTAATATCACATATCAAATCCTCCTCATTTAGGTCAGATCTGGAGTGGGTCATGTCTCTGTGTTTCAGGTTGTATTTCCGGCTGTGTGGCTCTCAGCTGGCACACAATGAACAATATGAAATTCAGAGATAAGACAAGATGGTGTTGTGATACAGAAAGGCTTTGGAGAGCTTAGTGAAAGTCTAGTTATCACATTAGCCCTGAGCAGAGATGGCAAATGTACACACATCCTTTCCTCAAGTAGAAGTACAGATACTCGTGTTTAAAAATACTCTGGTAAAAGTAGAAGTACTGACTAAACTTCTTTACTCAAGTAAAAGTAAAGAGGGCTTTGAAATGTACTTCAGTAAAAAGTACCCATAACTAGCAGCTGTTTTAAAGAGTACCTGACCTCCCTTTATATTAATAGAACAATAATGTCATTGTTAGCTAATGAATGTTTCCATGCTGAACAACGGCAACATGACAACGTTTTCATTGGTCCCTCTTCTTTAGAGAAGACCAGGAAATGATGGATACACGGATCGTGTTCAAATCAATAGGCACGCAATGACTCTAAATAATAATGATCACGCCACCAGACACACATTCAAACTAAAGGAACCAGCCTGTTTGGAAAATGTGAGAAGTAGAAAGTACAGGTATTTGGGTTCAACATGTAAGAAGTAGAAAGTACAGGTATTTGGGTTCAACATGTAAGACGTAGAAAGTACAGGTATTTGTGTTCAACATGTAAGAAGTAGAAAGTACAGGTATTTGTGTTCAACATGTAAGAAGTAGAAAGTACAGGTATTTGTGTTCAAAATGTAAGAAGTAGAAAGTACAGGTATTTGTGTTCAAAATGTAAGAAGTAGAAAGTACAGGTATTTGTGTTCAACATGTAAAAAGTCGTCTGAAAAATAAGTAGTGGAGTAAAGTACTGATACCAGAAAGATGTACTTAAGTACAGTAACTAAGTATTTGTACTCCACTACTTCCCACCTCTGGCCCGGAGTCACCACCGTAAAATCAAGTGTATTCTCTGGCCCATAACATTTTAATCATAGTGTATATTCCACTGAGCTTATATCCATTGCTAATTCATTAGATAATCCTCATCACTGCCTACTCCCAATGATCAGCTAAATTCAAACTAGCTGCACCTTTACCAGCTTTGAGAACACTTTAATGATCAATCATTATAAAACATATCATATATATTATTCTGAAATGGACCAATCTGCACAATCACTACTTTTACTGTCGCTACTTTCACTATATTTTGATGATAATACTTTTCTACTTTTACTTGAGGAACATTTTGAATGCAGGACTTTTACTGTAACAGAGTATTCCTACACTCTGGTACTTCTACTTTTACTCAAGTACAAGATGTGAGTACTTGTACTTTGACTCAAGTACAAGATCTGAGGACTTCTCCTTTTACTCAAGTACAAGATCTGAGGACTTCTCCCACCTGTTTCATTCTTTCAAATGTGAATACTTGCTGGTATTCTCAGTCTCTTATTATCATTTACTGGATAATATGTGGGCTTTAAACTTTTGTTAGAAAATTGTACCGGGTATGTTTCTATATTTCTGTATGAATGACTCAACAGAGAATAAATGATTGGACAAAAAAGGCAAAGTTTTAAATGAGTTTATTGAATATGACCTTCACTCAGGGAAACCAGTCAAAGTTTATAGACCAGCTGATATGTGTTTTCAGTATAAGGAGCCTGTCAGATTGAAACCCTGTGAATAGAGAGGATACAGAGAGATTAGTGAACACCATCTCAAAAGTGCACACAGCTAAACTCATGACAAAAGGTACGTTAATTTTAAACCGGTTGTGTGTATCCAAATGTTTGTCTACTACATAGTGGTTCATCATACCTTACAAAGTAGTACGATATGAGCAGAGGTGGGAAGTAGTGGAGTACAAATACTTTGTTACTGTACTTAAGTACTTGTTTCTGGTATCAGTACTTTACTCCACTACTTATTTTTCTGACGACTTTTTACTTTGACTTCTTACATTTTGAACCCAAATACCTGTACTTTCTACTTCTTACATTTTGAACACAAATACCTGTACTTTCTACTTCTTACATTTTGAACACAAATACCTGTACTTTCTACTTCTTACATGTTGAACACAAATACCTGTACTTTCTACTTCTTACATGTTGAACACAAATACCTGTACTTTCTGCTTCTTACATGTTGAACACAATACCTGTACTTTCTACTTCTTACATGTTGAACACAAATACCTGTACTTTCTACTTCTTACATGTTGAACACAAATACCTGTACTTTCTACTTCTTACATGTTGAACACAAATACCTGTACTTTCTGCTTCTTACATGTTGAACACAAATACCTGTACTTTCTACTTCTTACATTTTGAACACAAATACCTGTACTTTCTACTTCTTACATTTTGAACACAAATACCTGTACTTTCTACTTCTTACATGTGGAACACAAATACCTGTACTTTCTACTTCTTACATGTTGAACACAAATACCTGTACTTTCTACTTCTTACATGTTGAACACAAATACCTGTACTTCTACTTCTTACATTTTGAAACACAAATACCTGTACTTTCTACTTCTACATGTTGAACTCAAATACCTGTACTTTCTACTTCTTACATGTTGAACACAAATACCTGTACTTTCTACTTCTCACATGTTGAACACAATACCGTACTTTCTACTTCTTACATGTTGAACTCAAATACCTGTACTTTCTACTTCTTACATGTTGAACACAAATACCTGTACTTTCTACTTCTCACATGTTGAACACAAATACCTGTACTTTCTACTTCTTACATGTTTGAACACAAATACCTGTACTTTCTACTTCTTACATTTTGAACACAAATACCTGTACTTTCTACTTCTTACATGTTGAACTCAAATACCTGTACTTTCTACTTCTCACATGTTGAACACAAATACCTGTACTTTCTACTTCTTACATGTTGAACTCAAATACCTGTACTTTCTACTTCTTACATGTTGAACACAAATACCTGTACTTTCTACTTCTTACATGTTGAACCCAAATACCTGTACTTTCTACTTCTTACATTTCCCAAACAGGCTGGTTCCTTTAGTTTGAATGTGTGTTTGGTGGCGTGATCATTATTATTTAGAGTCATTGCGTGCCTATTGATTTGAACACGATCCGTGTATCCATCATTTCCTGGTCTTCTCTAAAGAAGAGGGACCAATGAAAACGTTGTCATGTTGCCGTTGTTCAGCATGGAAACATTCATTAGCTAACAATGACATTATTGTTCTATTAATATAAAGGGAGGTCAGGTACTCTTTAAAACAGCTGCTAGTTATGGGTACTTTTTACTGAAGTACATTTCAAAGCCCTCTTTACTTTTACTTGAGTAAAGAAGTTTAGTCAGTACTTCTACTTTCACCAGAGTATTTTTTAAGTATCTGTACTTCTACTTGAGTAAAGGATGTGTGTACTCTTGCCTCTCTGGGTATTAGTTTATTATTTTCCCAGCATCCTTATCATTTCAAAACAAACACCTATTTGCAGAGCAGGTCTGACTTATTGACATGTGGTTTATGAGGCGTTTTGTTTTAATATCACCCTGCTGCCTTCTGTCTGTGCACCGCTAACAGGACTAGCATGTGTGGGAACCGGCTGCCTGCTATTTCATGTCTAACTTTGTATTATTAGCCACGTGTTATCAATGTAATACTCTGCCATTCACAAAGTGCATGTAACTAGATTTTTATTTATTTAACCTTTATTTAACCAGATAAAAAAAGCATTGAGATAAAATCTTATTTACAATGCTGACCTGGCCAAGAAGGCAGCAACGTCACACATAACACAAACATATAAAATACACTAAGAAAACAAAAGACGAAAAAGCAGTCACTTGTGCACATTAGGACAGTAAGAAAGGTGCACTACTTATTACTGCAAGAGCAGCTGGTGGTGAGGACCTCAGACAACTTCAATTTAAAACATGCTATTGAGACAAGTGCCCTCAGTTTGAGGCTTGATTTGAAGGTCATTCCAAGACCAAGGACCATAATAAGAAAGACTCCTTTTTCCAGCCTCAGGCAGGTACCTGGACCCGTATCCAGGCACTGGATCTGAGGTTGTAAGAGTCACAAACTGGGGCAAATCTGACACATATGTAGAGTGGAAGCTTACCTAAAATGGCTTTATACATTAATAAAAACCAATGCTGCATCCTACGCATAGTAAGTGAGGACCATCCAGTTAGGCTATACAGTGTGCAATGATGAGTCCTATAGGGTGCATTTGATATATATCGCAGTGCAGCATGGTAGAGTGGGTCAAGTTTGGCCAAAACAGTGGGACAGGCAAATCCATAGATGGTATCACCATAGTCCAAGAAGTTGAAAAACAACATTTAAGTCTGAAAAGGAAGCCAAGAGTGAATTTCAATTTCTTTGTTAGAACTTCAATGTGATGTTTGAAGTTCAGATTACTGTCCAACCAAAAGCCCAGATATTTGTAGGTATCGACACGGCTTCTCTCCAGCGTCCTTGTTTCACTTCAGGGATGGGTCTGATTTGAATACACTCAATTCTGTTATAGATGTTAATGGGACAAATACATTTGTACGATTAGCAGAAATTGTAAACATGACCAGCAACAATTCTGCTAATCGATTAATTGATAATCATTTTTGGTCAAAGAAAAATGCCCGACATTTCTAAGGGTCAGCTTCTTTATTGATAGAATAATTGGGGAAATAAATGGATATATCAATGATGAAAATGATTGACGTTGCAGCTAATTGATAAGTCCCGCTGTCAATCATCAGCTTCCCATTACAGGAGTCAAAGAGTAATATGATTAGAATACATTTTGTGTACATTGATGAGCATTGTAGCATTCATTCTTACGTAGTTTTGAAGTGTAGATATGTGATATTTAATCTCAAATGTTGAATAAAAGACACTTTAGTCATTATATGGCTGCTTTTGTTAAAACCGCAGCTGATATTTGACAACTTTGGCTTCTTTTGCATGTCTTTGGTATCTATAACAGAATTGAGTGTATTCAAATCAGACCCATCCCTGAAGTGAAACCAGGACGCTGGAGAGAAGCCGTGTCGTGCCGCGCACTTTGGTTAGTTTAGCAAATGATTGTGAATGTGTGCCTTATTGTAGTATAACATATACGCCCCAAAACACATCAGAGGAATGATACTCGCTATATTACAGATACATGATATGCTAATATGAAAGGACACATGCCAAATGGAGGAGGAGCTAAGAACTATTTTAGATTTGTATCTGTTCTTTCTGTCCAAACATGAATAAACCAGCACCGCAGCTGTCTCGCACGCACACACACACACGCACACGCACACGCACACGCATACACACACACACACACACATACACACACACACACACACACATACACACACACACACACACACACACACACACACACACACACACACACACACACACACAGAGAGAGAGACACAGAAAGAGACACACACACACACACACACACACACACACACACACACACACACTGTGGCATATGGGTGGGGACGAGCATTCCTCAGTTAAATACCAGACGCGCTGCAGGTTCCTGTGAAGGGTCTGTTTTTGAGGGACTCGAATAAATGTTGTAGCAGAGACAGGAAGTGCTTTGGATCAACTTTACATGTATGTTTGTGCTACCTGAAACACAGGTGACATGTTCTTTCTTTTCCTTCTCAGCTGTTTCTGTTAGGGATGGGAATGATTCATCGAATATTCAAATATGCGAAATGATTCAGGTATTCGAATATGAGTTTATGAATATATGATTTTTTTTAAATGGTCTTTTATGGGAGGGGTGCCTAAGTTGATTACATATGATCAAATGGATTAATTAAATGTATACGACAGAAGCATTTTAAATATCTTGAGAAAAATATCAAAGAAGACTGTGTTTGGTTTCTATATTTATTTGAAAATGTATTCAAATATACATTTGAGTTCAGGGGCCACATACAGCACAGATTGGACCCTCTGACTCGTTTTCATTATTGTTTCTCTCCCTCCAGGTAACCTCAAGCTTCTCTGTGAACTTCACCACTTCCCCACTTCCCTGAGGATGTCTTCTCCTCCAGAAAAGCCTCTGCAAACGTCCCTCTCTGCCCTGGACTCTCTCTCCATATCCTCCCTCATGTCTGGAGATCTGGATGATGATGGCGGTGATGGAGGAAGAGAAGAAGAAGGAGGGGAGGAAGAGGAAGGATTAAGCGACCTGGAGGTGAACCCTTACGATGGTTTGCCCTTTTCTTCACGGTACTACGCCCTGCTGGAGGAGAGGAAACAGTTCCCAGTGTGGAGGCTGAGGCAAAGTCTGCTGGAGAACATGGAGAGCCACAACATGCTGCTGCTCAGTGCAGCCAGCGGGACGGGGAAGAGCACCCAGGTACACAGAAACATATTCAATGTTCTTCAATTGTTCAGGTGTATATCAGTATGTAGTGTCTCTACTTTAAAGAGTCCTCTCCTGCTGATGTTCAGGTGTATATCAGTATGTAGTGTCTCTACTTTAAAGAGTCCTCTCCTGCTGATGTTCAGGTGTATATCAGTATGTAGTGTCTCTACTTTAAAGAGTCCTCTCCTGCTGATGTTCAGGTGTATATCAGTATGTAGTGTCTCTACTTAAAGAGTCCTCTCCTGCTGATGTTCAGGTGTATATCAGTATGTAGTGTCTCTACTTTAAAGAGTCCTCTCCTGCTGATGTTCAGGTGTATATCAGTATGTAGTGTCTCTACTTTAAAGAGTCCTCTCCTGCTGATGTTCAGGTGTATATCAGTATGGAGTGTCTCTACTTTAAAGAGTGCTCTCCTGCTGATGTTCAGGTGTATATCAGTATGTAGTGTCTCTACTTTAAAGAGTCCTCTCCTGCTGATGTTCAGGTGTATATCAGTATGTAGTGTCTCTACTTTAAAGAGTCCTCTCTTGCTGATGCTCAGGTGTATATCAGTATGTAGTGTCTCTACTTTAAAGAGTCCTCTCCTGCTGATGTTCAGGTGTATATCAGTATGTAGTGTCTCTACTTTAAAGAGTCCTCTCCTGCTGATGTTCAGGTGTATATCAGTATGTAGTGTCTCTACTTTAAAGAGTCCTCTCCTGCTGATGTTCAGGTGTATATCAGTATGTAATGTCTCTACTTTAAAGAGTCCTCTCCTGCTGATGTTCAGGTGTATATCAGTATGTAGTGTCTCTACTTTAAAGAGTCCTCTCCTGCTGATGTTCAGGTGTATATCAGTATGTAGTGTCTCTACTTTAAAGAGTCCTCTCCTGCTGATGTTCAGGTGTATATCAGTATGTAGTGTCTCTACTTTAAAGAGTCCTCTCCTGATGATGTTCAGGTGTATATCAGTATGTAATGTCTCTACTTTAAAGAGTCCTCCATCAGTATGTCTGATTCTGATTCTCTTCCCCCTCGTCTTCCTCCTCTCCCTGCAGGTTCCTCAGTGGTGTGTGGAGTACGCTCTCTCCTATGAGTTCTCTCAGGGTCTGGTGTGTTGCTCTCAGCCTTCTTCAGTGGCGGCGGTGAGTCTGGCTCTGCGTGTGGCCGATGAGATGGACCTGAGTCTGGGCCTGGAGGTGGGATACAGCGTGTCTCATGACGACAGCTGCACACCCGACACCCTGCTCAGGTTAGAAGAGATGGCAACAGTACACACATCCTTTACTCAAGTAGAAGTACAGATACTCGTGTTTAAAAATACTCTGGTGAAAGTAGAAGTACTGACTAAACTTCTTTACTCAAGTCAAAGTAAAGAGGGCTTTGAAATGTACTTCAGTAAAAAGTACCCATAACTAGCAGCTGTTTTAAAGAGTACCTGACCTCCCTTTATATTAATAGAACAATAATGTCATTGTTAGCTAATGAATGTTTCCATGCTGAACAACGGCAACATGACAACGTTTTCATTGGTCCCTCTTCTTTAGAGAAGACCAGGAAATGATGGATACACGGATCGTGTTCAAATCAATAGGCACGCAATGACTCTAAATAATAATGATCACGCCACCAAACACACATTCAAACTAAAGGAACCAGCCTGTTTGGGAAATGTGAGAAGTAGAAAGTACAGGTATTTGTGTTCAACATGTAAGAAGTAGAAAGTACAGGTATTTGTGTTCAACATGTAAGAAGTAGAAAGTACAGGTATTTGGGTTCAACATGTAAGAAGTAGAAAGTACAGGTATTTGTGTTCAAAATGTAAGAAGTAGAAAGTACAGGTATTTGGGTTCAACATGTGAGAAGTAGAAAGTACAGGTATTTGTGTTCAAAATGTAAGAAGTAGAAAGTACAGGTATTTGTGTTCAACATGTAAGAAGTAGAAAGTACAGGTATTTGTGTTCAACATGTAAGAAGTAGAAAGTACAGGTATTTGTGTTCAAAATGTAAGAAGTAGAAAGTACAGGTATTTGTGTTCAACATGTAAGAAGTAGAAAGTACAGGTATTTGTGTTCAACATGTAAGAAGTAGAAAGTACAGGTATTTGTGTTCAAAATGTAAGAAATCAAAGTAAAAAGTCGTCAGAAAAATAAGTAGTGGAGTAAAGTACTGATACCAGAAACATCCTATCATTCCTTTCTTCACAAATGGACATGATAGTGGTATCTAACTCATTGCAAAAAGGCAAGGAAGCATATTTAAAAACTAGGGATGGGAATGATTCATCCAATACTCGAATATTCAAAATGGTTCAGGTATTCGAATATGAGTTATGAATATTTTTATTGTAATCATTATTTTTTTATGTGAGGGGTTTCTAAGTTTATTACATATTATTTTGGGGTCGAATATTCGAAAATAAATTTGCTTCAAATTCCCATCCCTAGTATGAAGTCACGATTGATTTAAGTCCAACAGACAAAATGGAAACCCATTAAGTGCAAAATGCACTTTGTGATGTCTTCTCTACATAAATATGTGTCCCCGGTGTGTCGGGGAACTCACGGAGCATCAGAAAATAAAACCCTCTCTCTTTTCCTCCGTACCCAAATCTCTAAAAACGGGGGAACAACGGAGCTGATCCAGATTTGCGTCCGATATGACGTAATATCTGAAATGTGGACCCACGGCCCTATCAGAAAGTTGCTATCAGAAACAATGCCCGACTGTTTTGGACGTAATATGGTCGGTGTTTACATTAGCATCGCTAACACTCAGAGCTAACCTGTACTGGAGAGCATGTGTGTGAAGAAGCAGGAAATCAAAAGGAACTCACCTTGTGGTATAACCGGCAAGAGAGAAAGCCTTTGAGCTCCATACTGTTTCAGAGAGAATCCTTGATAATCCATGATATGGCGTTTCATCACGGCAGTATTTAGTTTAGACAGTAGCTGCCGGGTGCCGCATGAGCTCAGACCCCTCCTTAAAGCTTTATACCCCAAATCAGCACTTTTGAAACAGGAAGTGAAATAGAGGGATATGAGGCATGGCTAGAATGGGTGATCTGTTTGGTATTTGGAGCAAAACATAGACATGTTTTTTATATATTTGTATATATCTGAGACCTATGCTATTGCCTAAAAATAGCATGAGTGTTCTTCACACACATGCTCTCCAGTACAGGTTAGCTCTGAGTGTTAGCGATGCTAATGTAAACACCGACCATATTACGTCCAAAACAGTCGGGCATTGTTTCTGATAGCAGCGTTTCTGATTGGGCCGTGGGTCCACATTTCAGATATTACGTCATATCGGACGCAAATCTGGATCAGCTCCGTTGTTCCCCCGTTTTTAGAGATTTGGGTACGGAGGAAAAGAGAGAGGGTTTTATTTTCTGACGCTGCGTGAGTTCCCTGACACACCGGGGACACATGTTGATGTATAAAAGACATCAAAACGTACATTTTGCATGAAAGGTCCCCTTTAAGTTTGACTTCAGGATTCCTGCATATACCCTGTACTATGGTATGATCCTGATTATTGAAGTGAATATATCTATATCCTTGTTGTTCAGAGTTTGATTCTTTGTGGTTTTTGCACTTATTTCAAGTCGTAAATGATATGTAATGTAATCTTATCGTATCCTTCCCGTCTTCACAAATGGACATGATAGTGGTATCGATCTAATTCATTGCAAAAAACAAAATTATATATTACAAAAACTAACCTTTTAAAATAAACTGCACCGTAATAATTATGAACTATGTTTTAAATACTGCTCCATATACAGAAGGAAGCCTCCTGAATAACATACTGACTGCTTGAGAGAGGATTAAACAGGTGCAACACATTCCTGTCCCAGAGGAAATGGATTGGATCGATTTCACTACTTTTATAACATAATGTGTCACGGTCTTTCTTTTTCTTACAGCCACACCTTCACTCTTTGTTCTCTGTTCCCTGCAGTGGGCAGCAAACGTTTTATAGCCGTGTATTTACTGAAAATGGATCCCTGTGTCCTTTCCTGCTTCTCTCTTTTCTTCATTATATAAACTAGAATGGGATAGTGCCACCACAGCCAATGCTGCGTTCAGGGGCTCCTCGGATATTCCCATTAAGCTAATTCACGGTACATCTCAAAGCGTTCAAACTAAAAGCTAAAAGCTGTTTCTGTGAATTAGTCTGCAGCACAAATACCCCTTCTCACAATGTCAGCTAAAGATAAATTAGACTCTGGATCTTTTTAATTGAACAGATTGCTTATTTATTTGAAAATGACAAATGATTACCTCTACCGTGGACATTTTGTTTTAATGCTTTCTGTATCCAAATGATCGCAACACTACTCATTGTAGTCAAAATCTGCTCACTGAGTACAAATATGGCCACTTTCTGATTAAAACTGCCTCTGGTGATCCTGAAAGTGTCAGAAATGCTTTCAGCTTCCTCAATAAACCCCAAAACCACTACAAAAGTGTCCAAATCAGCCAAGCCATTTCTAAACTATTGTCTTCATACGCTATAATGCATTCTACTTATTTATCTAAATAGTTATCACCGTAATAAACCGTATTTAATTTTGTCTTAATGTACATTATTTAATTTCATATTCTGTTCTTATACATATCTTATTCTATTTACATATAGACTATTTTGTATTTTATTATGTTGCATTGTTGGAGCAGCTCAGGTCAGAAGAATTTCATTGCCATTTCTACTCTGAAGCTTTTGTGCATATGACAATAAAACCGTTGAATCAAATGCAACTTATGCTAACTTTTCTAATTGCTCTTTCCTCATCTCTTTTTGCTCTCCCTTTCCCCAGGTTTATGAGTGACACCCTGCTGCTGGAGGAGATGATGTCGGACCCCCTGCTGCATCAGTATGGTGTCGTGGTTTTGGACGAGCTTCAGGAGCGCACCGTGCCCACAGACGTGCTTCTGGGTCTGCTTTGTGACGTGTGTCGTCAGAGACCCCAAAACTTCAGGGTGGTTCTCCTCTCTCACCCCTCACTGGCCCCTCGTCTCTCTGCCTTCCTGGGTCCATCGGTTCCTCACCTCTCCCTGGACACCGTGCTCTCTGACCCCCCTGGTGATGAGCAGGAGGAGGGTGGAGAGGTGGAGGGGGAGGAGAGGAAAGCTGTGGAGGTGAACAAGGTGGAGACGGTGTATCGGGAACTCTCTGCTGGGAAGGAGCCGGCGACGGCTGCATGTCACATGGTGCTGGATCTGCACCGCAGGGGGGAGGAGGGAGATGTGATGGTGTTTCTGGCCAGTGCACAGGTACTACATGTTACTTAGTATATCAAACTCACATTACACTCCCTTTATGTCAACACCTGCTGGACTCTGTCAGTCCTGAGGGTGGAGTCTACAGTTTGAGCCTGGGCTAGTTTAGGTTACATTTGTAAGTCAAAGTCCTCTCTGGTGATACTGATCTGCTCTGGGTGATCCTCATTGAAACACACACACAGGTCTGTCTCTGTGGAACATGGTAGAGCAGGGAATTGACCAATCAGAATCGAGTATTCAACTAAGCCATGTAATAAATACTGATAAACACCTGAACATCAGCAGGAGAGGACTCTTTAAAGTAGAGACACTACATACTGATATACACCTGAACATCAGCAGGAGAGGACTCTTTAAAGTAGAGACACTACATACTGATATACACCTGAACATCAGCAGGAGAGAACTCTTTAAAGTAGAGACACTACATACTGATATATACCTGAACATCAGCAGGAGAGGACTCTTTAAAGTAGGTCAATGTAGTTGTTCTCTTCCCTCTCTTCTTGTGTAGGAAGCAGAAGTGTGTGCAGCGCTGCTGGAGAAGGAGTGTTTGGCTCTGAGTCCTCAGCTCGGTTCCCTCAGGATTCTCTCTCTGCATTCTGGACTGGGGAGTCTGACTCAGAGGGTTTATGAATCCCACCCTGAAGCGTCTGCTCTGGGGGAGAAAGACAGCTCTGAGGGGGTCAAGAGGAAGGTGGTCCTCTGTGATTCACTCGCTGAGGCGTCCTTCTCCCTGCCTGCCATTCGATACGTCATAGACACAGGCCTTCAACTAAAAAATGTAAGTTCGTTTGAGTCAAATCACACCGAGTTACTACTTTCATCAATCATAAATATTGTGTTTTACATCTGATTGCCTCAAGGCCTTATGATATCCTCCGTAGTAGGCAGAAGTGGGAGAAGTACTCAGATCTTTAGATTTATTTTCTCTAACCAATGTTTGCTTGTATTGTTTTGTTTTATTTTAAACTTGTTCTTATTGTAAAGTGCTTTAAATACAACGGTGAAAACTTGACATCTCCACTTGTGACCACAGGTTTACAACACACAGATACGAGCTAACTCACAGGTGATGAGAACGATCAGCAAACACCAGGCCGACATGAGAACTGAAAGGGTGAACAGCCGTCTGCCAGGTAGGTCAAAGGTCATTTCTGTCGCGGCTTAAAGGTCACCTATTATGCAAAATCCACTTCTTCATGTCTCTTCTACATCAACATGTGTCCCCTCTTCTTCATGTCTCTTCTACATCAACATGTGTCCCCTCTTCTTCATGTCTCTTCTACATCAACATGTGTCCCCTCTTCTTCATGTCTCTTCTACATCAACATGTGTCCCCTCTTCTTCATGTCTCTTCTACATCAACATGTGTCCCCTCTTCTTCATGTCTCTTCTACATCAACATGTGTCCCCTCTTCTTCATGTCTCTTCTACATCAACATGTGTCCCCTCTTCTTCATGTCTCTTCTACATCAACATGTGTCCCCTCTTCTTCATGTCTTTTCTACATCAACATGTGTCCCCTCTTCTCCATGTCTCTTCTACATCAACATGTGTCCCCTCTTCTTCATGTCTCCTCTACATCACCATGTGTCCCCTCTTCTTCATGTCTCTTCTACATCAACATGTGTCCCCTCTTCTTCATGTCTCTTCTACATCAACATGTGTCCCCTCTTCTTCATGTCTCTTCTACATCAACATGTGTCCCCTCTTCTTCATGTCTCTTCTACATCAACATGTGTCCCCTCTTCTTCATGTCTCTTCTACATCAACATGTGTCCCCTCTTCTTCATGTCTCTTCTACATCAACATGTGTCCCCTCTTCTCCATGTCTCTTCTTCATCAACATGTGTCCCCTCTTCTTCATGTCTCTTCTACATCAACATGTGTCCCCTCTTCTTCATGTCTCTTCTACATCAACATGTGTCCCCTCTTCTTCATGTCTCTTCTACATCAACATGTGTCCCCTCTTCTTCATGTCTCTTCTTCATCAACATGTGTCCCCTCTTCTTCATGTCTCTTCTACATCAACATGTGTCCCCTCTTCTTCATGTCTCTTCTTCATCAACATGTGTCCCCTCTTCTTCATGTCTCTTCTTCATCAACATGTGTCCCCTCTGTGTAAAGAGACTCTGAAAGTTTCAGGAACAAAGATTCTCTCTCTTTTTGATCCATTTTTATAAAAACCTGTCTGAAAATGAGCTGATCAGATTTTGGCCACTTGATGATGTCATAACGATGTTTTGTCTTGTGTAACCATTAGCCAATCAGCAACCAAGGTAACCCCCCCCCACCTTATCACCTGAATCTCCTCCTAGAGCACCATTGAGTTCTTTGTAACCAAATCTCTCTCAGAGGGGCGTGGGGAGGGGCTCCTTATTTTCATCTAAAGTAACAGACAGAGAATCAGCACTTTGGAAACAGGGCTGAAACAGAGGGGATTATGGGTAATGCTGCAATGATCTGTTTGGTGTTTCAGCCAATCAGAGACAGGCTCTGGATATATCTGAGACCTGTGATATATTGATGAAAGACAGTATAATAGGGGACCTTTAACAAATAAATAAAACAGAACATTTAAATTAAACTAAAACTGCAGCTGGGGCACCAGTGAGTGAATCTTACGCAGGAATAATGTTCAATGTCAAGGCAAGAATATCTTCTGTGCATTTATCTTGTTGTATCCCAATAATACAATATCACAATGAACAAGTTTCTCCAGAAGCCTTTCCTGGTAAAAAAACAAATGCTCAATCTGGTGCCACCCAACACCTGTCCCCAATATATATAATTATACCAGGTGCCCACCTAAACCTAATAATAATACATTTACTATACTACATTACATTACATTGCTTTTAGCTGACGCTTTTATCCAAAGCGACTTCCAATAAGTGCATTCGACCAAGAAGATACAAACTTGAAGAAAACAGAATCATATAAGTACATCAGGTTTCATAGAGCCGAAACATTTCAAGTGCTACTCAACAGGCTTTAGATAAGCCAGTGCTTTATTAGTATATAAGTGCTTTGTTAGTAATGTTATTGCTCGAAGCGGAGTCGAAAGAGATGAGTTTTCAGTCTGCGCCGTATGTGTAAGCTTTCTGCTGTCCTGATGTCAATGGGGAGCTCATTCCACCATTTTGGAGCCAGGATAGCAAACCCACGTGTTTTTGCTGATGGGAACTTGGGTCCCCCTCGCAGTGCGGGTGCAGCGAGCCGTTTGGATGATGCAGAGCGGAGTGCACGTGCTGGGGTGTACGGTTTAACCATGTCCTGGATGTAGGAAGGGCCAGATCCATTCACTGCATGGTACGCAAGTACCAGTGTCTTGAAGTGGATTCTAGCAGTTACTGGAAGCCAGTGCAGGGAGCGGAGGAGCGGCGTGGTGTGGGAGAATTTAGGAAGGTTGAAGACCAGACGAGCCGCTGCATTCTGGATGAGCTGCAGAGGTTGTTGCAGTAGTCTAGGCGTGGAGAACCTGGACCAGAAGTTGCATTTACTACATTTACTATACTACATTTACTATACTACTTTAAAGGGGACCTATCATGCAAAATGCACTTTTGTACGTCTTTTCTACATGAATATGTGTCCCCGGTGTTCCAGGGAACTCACCAAGTGTCAGAAAACACAACCCTCTCTATTTTCCTCCATACCCAAATCTCTAAAAAAGGGGCTGCAACGGATCTGATAAAAACTGATCCAGATTTGAACACTGTCCTGACGTCAGGACGGTGGCGCTACGGCTATTGGGCCAACTCCACCAATCAGGAAGAGACAGCCACGGCCATTGCCGTTCCAAAGCGCTGGAGACGCTGTAGTACATATGCCAGGCCTCTAGATGGTGCTGTTCTCACAGAATCAGCCCTTGCTAAAACAGAGCTATAAATGGTCAAATTGAGCAAAATGAGGCATGGCTAAAATGCATGATCTGTTTGGTATTTTGAAAAAAAAAAAGTATAAATATTCCTTATACAGGTATGGTCCTACACTATATTATTCAAATATAGCATGATAGGTCCACTTTAATATACGAAATAACAGTCACTTCAATATCTTTGGGAAATGTACATTAGTGCAAGACTGTTCATAGCAGCGTACAAAGGTGTCTGGTGCTGGATTTGAGTGTCTGAGTGTGTGTGGGGTGTTATATACATTTGCTTTCAGGTTCCCATCCCTACTAAATAGTGTCTCCTTGTGTGTCTCCAGGTCTGTGTCTCCGTCTCTACCCCCAGTCTCTGTACGAGGGGATGGAGGAGGCTCATCGTCCGGGGGTAGAGGAGGAGAACCTCAGCCACCTGGTGCTGCTGCTCAAGAGGCTGGATATCGCAGACATGGGGCAGTGCAAGTTCCTGGACAGACCAGGTATCTGTGTTTACAAAAAAGTGTTTTGTAGAGCAAGAATAAAAAGGAGTGTCGCGGCCAAAATCATAAAGGCACCAGTTAGCGAATGTTACGCAGGGGTAAAGGATCGAAGTCCAGCACTCCTACAGCAGTTTACAGCAAAGTGCGTCTCTTGGAGTTGAATTATAAGACCATATTACCAGAGGTGGGAAGTAGTGGAGTACAAATACTTAGTTACTGTACTTAAGTACATGTTTCTGGTATCAGTACTTTACTCCACTACTTATTTTTCTGACGACTTTTTACTTTGACTTCTTACATTTTGAACACAAATACCTGAACTTTCTACTTCTTACATTTTGAACCCAAATACCTGTACTTTCTACTTCTTACATGTTGAACTCAAATACCTGTACTTTCTACTTCTTACATGTTGAACACAAATACCTGTACTTTCTACTTCTTACATGTTGAACCCAAATACCTGTACTTTCTACTTCTTACATGTTGAACTCAAATACCTGTACTTTCTACTTCTTACATGTTGAACCCAAATACCTGTACTTTCTACTTCTTACATTTTCCAAACAGGCTGGTTCCTTTAGTTTGAATGTGTGTTTGGTGGCGTGATCATTATTATTTAGAGTCATTGCGTGCCTATTGATTTGAACACGATCCGTGTATCCATCATTTCCTGGTCTTCTCTAAAGAAGAGGGACCAATGAAAACGTTGTCATGTTGCCGTTGTTCAGCATGGAAACATTCATTAGCTAACAATGACATTATTGTTCTATTAATATAAAGGGAGGTCAGGTACTCTTTAAAACAGCTGCTAGTTATGGGTACTTTTTACTGAAGTACATTTCAAAGCCCTCTTTACTTTGACTTGAGTAAAGAAGTTTAGTCAGTACTTCTACTTTCACCAGAGTATTTTTAAACACGAGTATCTGTACTTCTACTTGAGTAAAGGATGTGTGTACTTTTGCCATCTCTGCTCTCTCCTATATATTGATTTGTCCTCCATGTGTCCCTCTCTCCCAGCCCCTGAGGCTCTGATGCAGGCTCTGGAGGATCTGGACTACCTGGCGGCGCTGGATGATGATGGTAATCTGTCTGAAGTTGGCATCATAATGTCGGAGCTTCCCTTGGAGCCGCCTCTGGCCAAAGCTCTGATCGCTGCCTGCGAGTACGACTGTGTGGACGAGCTGCTCACTATCGCTGCCATGCTCACAGGTAACTGCAGCGAGGCAACCGGTTGATAATACGATACGATACGATAATACTTTATTGGTCAGATCAAGTCTGAAATTTGACTTGCATCACAGCACAATAATACAAATCCATTCACTTTAAGCGATGGGCCCCTGTAATGCATCTACTAATACAGTAAGAATTGTTAACACCTTTTGTATTCTCTTTCCATCATTATTATTTTAGTTTATTTACTATTATTTGTTATTTATTATTCTTACTTTCTAAGGTAGGCCATCTTTATTACATTTTTTTTTTGTTAGCCCTGGAGTCGTACTCTGTTACTGGTTGTCTAATACTTGAAACCTATTCAGGATTGTATCGATACAACTGGAAAAACTGAAAATGTGACTGAAAGATATATTGTACTGTATTATTGTTTGTAACAAACAAAAAAAGTTCTTAAAGAAATCCATTCACTTTCACAAAGATGCTTAGCCTTGTAGGAGCCGCATTTAAGTTCATTTTGATCCATTTGCAACTTTTATTAATGCATTTTTCTATTGCAGCAAGAGGTTCGCCTTGCTCAGGTGATGGGGGCGGGGCTAAAGTTTTAAGTTGGAGGTACTTATGGTGCATTTCCACTGCAGGGCCTCGCACGGCTTAGTACGGTATAGTTAGGCCTTGGTAGGCCAGGCTCACTTAATGCTGCGTTTCCATTACAGTTTAGTAGCTGGGGCAGTAACTATAGTAACGCAGTGTAGGCGGAGCCGTGACGTCATCTTCAATAAGAACCACAGAACCAACATCAGCCGTTAGCTGTTAGCACTCAGAGCTCACAGCTCCTCATATACGTTCAGAAACTAGACAAAAGTTAAACAAGTACAAACCACAGACTGCCTGTGTCATGGTGAATACAGTCGCTGCTTTATTTATGTCTGTATAGGCCGTTGTTGTGAGTGTGGACGGTCGGAGCATCTACAACGTTAGCTTAGCCGATCTCCATTTAGAAAACACGCAGACTTGTCAAAGCATTAATTCATGGTTTTTACTAACCGGTATCAGTATGTTGTTACTTTGGCATCATTTTGAAACGTGTATTACAATTAAATCACGGTCAAATATGTTCATCTTGTTGTAGTTGTAGCCCCCTTGCCAGCGATTCTCTCACTAGTTTAGCATACTCAGCCCGGTTGTTGGCCCGGAAAGAACCTGGATTTTGGAGAGCCAGAAAAACTGTGAAAAAGTACCCGTCAGCCGGAACTACGCCTAGTGGAAACACAACCAAAAACGGGCCGGGTTTTGCACGGCACGCTTAAACCGTGCTACGCGCTGCAGTGGAAATGCGCCATTAGTCTCAGTGAAACAGATGAATGGGATCTGGTGCTAAAGTTTAAGCTACAAGTTGATATTGTTTTCATATTTTGTTTTTTGGTGATAAACGTTCAAGAAATCAATCAATAAATAAATAAATAAATAGTCCAATGGATTTTTTACGCAAGCTGCGAGTCTGACACTGCTTCCCAGCCCCATACCATTTTGAAATAAGGAGTTATAAGACAAACTGATAAGATGTTAACAACCCTTTGTGAATAATGTGTCTTCTTGCAGCTCCGTCCTGCTTTGTGACAGTGGAGCCCAGCAGAGAGGAGGCGGTGTCTCAGTGGAAACCCCTGATGCACGCAGAGGGAGACCACATGACTCTCATCAACATCTATAGCACCTACCTGGAGAGTACGTAATGCTTCACTTCATCACCTGTTGTGTTTCATCCTCTTGTCTTGGTGACCAGTCTTGTGTGTATTTAGGCCCGTCTTCCCTTGTGTTCTGGCTCAAGTTGTACTTTCACAGGAAAGGGAATCGGGACCAAAATGCAGAATTAAAGAGCCGACAACAAGGCAAGCTTTATTAAAGTGGACCTATCATGCTATATTTGAATAATATAGTGTAGGACCATACCTATATAAGGCATATTTATACTTTTTTTTTCTCAAAATACCAAACAGATCATGCATTTTAGCCATGCCTCATTTTGCTCAATTTGAAAAATGTTACCCCTGTTTTAGCAAGGGCTGATTCAGTGAGAACAGCACCACCTACAGGCCTGGCATATGTACTACAGCGTCTCCAGCGCTTTTGAACGGCAATGGCCGTGGCTGTCTCCTCCTGATTGGTGGAGTTGGCCCAATAGCCGTAGCGCCACCGTCCTGACGTCAGGACAGTGTTCAAATCTGGATCAGTTTTTATCAGATCCGTTGCAGCCCCTTTTTTAGAGATTTGGGTATGGAGGAAAATAGAGAGGGTTGTGTTTTCTGACACTTGGTGAGTTCCCTGGAACACCGGGGACACATATTCATGTATAAAAGACGTACAAAAGTGCATTTTGCATGATAGGTCCCCTTTAAATTAAAGCTGGTACAAATAAACACTAAATAAAACTGGAGGAGTGGGCAAAGTCAAACTAAAATTACTAACAAGCCAAGAACACTTTGAGGACACAGTGAGTGAAGAGGAGGGAAATCCAGAAATATGCAGACAAGAAACCACAAACCAAAAGTAAACAGACGAGGAACTAGGGAAGACTCGCCTAAAGACACACAACACACATGACTGATCATCACTGACTGGTGCAGTGATGACTTATTTTTGTAGCCCGACCCGGAAGTAAGCGGCTGGTTCCCTCGACAAAAAAGCAACGGGATTTCTCCATAGGATTTTGGAATATTGTAAAAAATAAGATCTGTGGAAAACTAACCTGTTTGATAAATGCACGTTTTGTTCAGCCGGATAATCTCCACATGTCTACCCTACTTTTATAATTTTCTAATCATAAATCTAATCGCTAGCAGCAAAATGCTAACGTTATGCTATAAAGGAACTCCAGCCGAGTACAGCAGCACGACTTCAACGTCACGCCAACTTAAGATCCATACTCAAACATACAGATTCTAAATGGTACGAGTTGAAGCGTTTGTTTGAACACTTTGCAGGAGGCAGGGACTTGCTTTCAAGCAGAACAGGGCAAACTAACTTAGAGGAGTGTTTACGTGTTCGGCGTAATGACGTACAACGACCTCCACGACTTCTGTAGTCCTATTCAGCCCCTTGGTAACAACCATCGTTTTTCAGACACGTCAACTCTTCAGAAATCACCAGTGGGGTCACTGCTGATGGATTTAATGTCTTAGAACAAAACGTGATCCATCTCTTCAATGTGTCTCAACCACAGACCTTATTTACAGCTATTTTCCAAAATCCTATGGAGAGATCCCATTGGCTCTGAGACCAGGGAACAGGAAGTGCTAAAATGCTAACTCACTTCCGGGTTTTAGGACGCGTCACTGCACCACTAACATTTCCTGTATATCTGTGAGTTATTGAACTGTCTGTGTGGTTTTACTGCAGATCACCAGGACGAGGCGTGGTGCACGACAAACTTTCTGAGTCACGCAGCCTTACGATTGGCTGTGGTGATCAGGGCGGAGCTTCTGGAGGTGATGCAGAGAATAGAACTTCCTGTTTCTCCGCCTGATTTCGGATGCCAGGACAACTGCACCAACATCAAGCGTGCTCTCATCTCAGGCTTCTTCCTCAAGGTAAACACCCTGTTTATTCATTTTTAAACTGAGGCATAGGAATATAGTCTCAAAGTCAACTTTATTGTCAATCTTTTAGTTTGTGTGTACAGACAGAGAGATCGAAATATCGTTTCCCACTATCCCAAATACAAATATGTATAAAAATACACAATCAACAGACACATTTATACACATGCACACATTAAGATATATATACAGTATAGGTGTAATTACAGTGTAATATGGGTCTAAAAACAGTGCAGTTTAGGTGTAATAACGGTGTAATTACAGTGTAATATTGGTCTAAAAACAGTGCAGTATAGGTGTAATAACGGTGTAATTACAGTGTAATATTGGTCTAAAAACAGTGCAGTATAGGTGTAATAACGGTGTAATTACAGTGTAATATTGGTCTAAAAACAGTGCAGTTTAGGTGTAATAACGGTGTAATTACAGTGTAATATGGGTCTAAAAACAGTGCAGTTTAGGTGTAATAACGGTGTAATTACAGTGTAATATGGGTCTAAAAACAGTGCAGTATAGGTGTAATAACGGTGTAATTACAGTGTAATATGGGTCTAAAAACAGTGCAGTATAGGTGTAATAACGGTGTAATTACAGTGTAATATGGGTCTAAAAACAGTGCAGTATAGGTGTAATAACGGTGTAATTACAGTGTAATATTGGTCTAAAAACAGTGCAGTATAGGTGTAATAACGGTGTAATTACAGTGTAATATGGTCTAAAAACAGTGCAGTATAGGTGTAATAACGGTGTAATTACAGTGTAATATGGGTCTAAAAACAGTGCAGTATAGGTGTAATAACGGTGTAATTACAGTGTAATATGGGTCTAAAAACAGTGCAGTTTAGGTGTAATAACAGTGTAATATTGGTCTAAAAACAGTGCAGTTTAGGTGTAATAACGGTGTAATTACAGTATGATATTGGTGTAACATGGGTATGATAAACCAGTAGACCAGGTACACCCAGTGTTCCTCGAGGTTACATTTTTGTGGCAAAGTATTTCTTATACACCCCCACAATATGTGAATATATAAGGGTTATGTGATCAAACCTGCTTGACTTAAATGTCTTCATTTTTCACATCAATCTCCCCATATCTTCTTGCTGTGTTGATGATAATTGTTGTTGATGTTGTTGTTGTCCTCTCAGGTGGCTCATGATGTGGACGGCTCAGGGAACTACCTCCTGCTGACTCACCGCCACGTGGCTCACCTGCACCCCTTCTCCTCCTACCTGAGTCTCCAGCCGTGCCCCGCCCCCCCCAGCTGGGTCCTCTACCACGAGTTCACCATCTCCTGCGACAACTGCATCCGCATCGCCTCCGAAGTGCACCCTCAGATGTGAGTCAACACGGAGATTGATAATAATAATAATAATACATTACATTTTTATAGCGCTTTTCCTGGTGCTCAAAGAAACTTTACATAAAATCAGAAAACAGTACAAAGAAGAAACATAAACAGTAGTCCTAGTCCAAATCTTTGTTGATCAGAGTTTGAAAGCAAGAGTGAATAAGTGTGTTTTGAGAGTGTTGGCCTTTCGGATGTGACCGGGAAGGGAGTAGTTTTAACTTTTTAGAATTCTTATTTCTGGGCAAACAGGGTCTTTTTTTATGTGTTAAAGGGGACCTATCATGCAAAATGCACTTTTTGATGTCTTCTATACATCAACATGTGTCCCCGGTGTGTGAGGGAACTCACGCAGCGTCAGAAAATAAAACCCTCTCTCTTTTCCTCCGTACCCAAATCTCTAAAAACGGGGGAACAACGGAGCTGATCCAGATTTGCGTCCGATATGACGTAATATCTGAAATGTGGACCCACGGCCCCATCAGAAACGTTGCTATCAGAAACAATGCCCGACTGTTTTGGACGTAATATGGTCGGTGTTTACATTAGCATCGCTAACACTCAGAGCTAACCTGTACTGGAGAGCATGTGTGTGAAGAAGCAGGAAATAAAAAGGAACTCACCTTGTGGTATAACCGGCAAGAGAGAAAGCCTTTGAGCTCCATACTGTTTCAGAAACAATCCTTGATAATCCATGATATGGCGTTTCATCACGGCAGCATTTAGTTTAGACAGTAGCTGCCGGGTCCCGCATGAGCTCAGACCCCTCCTTTTATTTAAAGCTTTATACCCCAAATCAGCACTTTTGAAACAGGAAGTGAAATAGAGGGATATGAGGCATGGCTAGAATGGGTGATCTGTTTGGTATTTTGAGCAAAACACTTCATAGACATGTTCTTTATATATTTGTATATATCTGAGACCTATGCTATTGCCTAAAAATAGCATGATAGGTGACCTTTAAATTAAATCATGATGTTGGTTTGAAAGGGAGTTAGGTCGTATACTATACCCCAAAGACGTCTACTTTGGTGTACTCTGGGTTCACTAATCTGTAAACTAATCCTCTCTGTTCTCCCCCTCTCTCTCTCTTCAGGCTGGTGGAGCTCTCCCCTCAGTATTATTTGGGTAATCTGCCCCCCAGTGACGGCAGAGAGCAGCTGATGGAGCTGAGGCAGAATCTGGAGCCGCCCTCATACGACACGGGGGTGACTGCAGAGGATTACAACAGGATGCTCAGAGAAGTAGAAACTGAAAGTGAACCTCACACTGAGTCCAATACTGACCTCTGTGTGGTCCAATGAGAGGGAAGAGGAGGCGGGGCTTCTCAGGAGAACACGCTCGTCGTCACGCAGCTGTCACTTTATCTCAGATATCTTTTTGATGAATTATCCTGAAATCTCATTTAAGGTTTAAACCAGGGGTCATGGTCAGGGGTCAACTCATTTTAGAATATAATATACAATGGGTGTAATTGTACATGTCGCTTTACAGAAGCCCATAAACTACATGTCCCACAATGCATCTCAGTTTGTGACATGCGCACTGGAGAGACTTGCAATTATTTGCCCTAGACTTCTGCTTTCAGACGTAGTTAATTATGAAGTTATTACCAGAACTGATAATAATCCAATGCAGAGGCAATAATGTAATATATAATACATTATTTAAAGGGGACCTATCATGTAAAATGCACTTTTGTACGTCTTTTATACATGAATATGTGTCCCCGGTGTTCCAGGGAACTCACCAAGTGTCAGAAAACACAACCCTCTCTCTTTTCCTCCATACCCAAATCTCTAAAAAAGGGGCTGCAACGGATCTGATACAGACTGATCTGATTGCAGGGGGGCGTGGTCAGCTGCAGCGCATGCAAAGACAGGGTGGAGGAGAGCAAAATTGAGCGAAATGAGGCATGGCTAAAATGCATGATCTGTTTGGTATTTTGAAAAAGAAAACGTATAAATATGCCTTATATAGGTATGGTCCTACAATATATTATTCAAATATAGCATGATAGGTCCACTTTAAGTAAGTGATAATGTGCAGCAACGCGGTCATTATGGGGAAAAGAACATCCGACAGGAGCCCGACGCGAAGCGGAGGGATCTAGATCTGCATGAAGAGTAATGACCAAGTCGCTTCCCGCTTATCACACGGCCACATTCTCAACAAAGTAACGATATGATTCCCAATATGAATTGAAATGCTTTTATAGATTTAGAAAATGTTTTTATGGATTTAAAAAATAGTACGCTATTATTTATTTAAAATGACATGCATCCGCTAAGAAAAATAGTCCGTTGTTACTGTTTGAACTACGTAGCAACGGCAGGAAGTGCTTCGATAGCGTTTTTGAGGAGCTTTTTTATTACAGATTTGAAAACATCGTTGCTTGCTCTAAAAGTAGCACAATTCATGATGTCAAACCTTGGGAAGTATCTAGATATCCCTGCCCTAATGCCAAAGTAACTGGCAACTGAATATGTGTCGCTGTTTGATGTCTATGTCTGGACCGCTGCGTAAAAAGCAGGGTTTCTGCCCCGTTACTTCTCCGCTGTTTGCTTGTCCCTCTTGTCGGCCAAACTGTATACAGTTCAATCGACCAAACTTCTTTCTGCAGATGTGAGCGTCCTTAATAACGGTCAATAAATCCTTGGCAGCGGTCTGTCTGTTCTGGATTAACAACGTGTCACGTGTTCTGAATTGACCAATCAGAATCGAGTATTCAACTAAGCCATGTAATAATTAATATTATTTATTTATATAGTCTTAACGTTACAACCGGCCCTTTGAGTTGATGTGGCCCGCGACGAAATGGAGTTCTTCCCCCCTGGTTTAAACGCTTTGTGATTTCTAATGGACTCCTGCTGGAAAACACTCATGTAATGTACAGCAATGACTTGTTAAATTATCTTTTATGCAGTGGCTTCGGAAGATATGTTTCTCCTTGTTGTGATATATATATATATATTGAATTAATTTAAAATTGTATTTAGAATATGTTTTTATTTAATAAGGGATATCTGTCTTTCTGTTTCTGTAATTCTAAAGGAAATTATAATAAGTAATAATGGCACAGTGGATTAAAAAAAAGAGAGATTTGAACTAAAAGCTAAATGCACTGCTTCAGTAAATAAGACTGTTTCTGACCTTTGACCCCTATGCAGATGCCATGAACTGTGACCTATGATGAGAAACTGTTCTATTTTACACGTTTTGATACCGTTTGTATAACGTTTGGGTTTCCCCTTTAGATTCTGCCTCTTTCTGTCAATAAAGTGGATTCTTATCGTCCTATATAATAGGATATATCTGTCAATACTTCCAATAAAAGTGGTTTTTCATGTTTGAAATATCTCAGATCTTCTTCCTTCAGTAGCTTCACCTCGTCTCCTCTATCACTTTCTGTAAAGGTAATCAATATCTCTTGTTTTAAAGCAATATCAATCTTTAATTTCCTGGTATTTCAATAGAAGGGACGGAGTGGCGCAGTGGGCTGTGCGTTGACCATCAGATGGCGTTGGGGAACTCCAGTTCGAAACCCGCCCCCGCCGCCACTGCGTCAGGCCGTTGTGTCCTTGGGCGAGACACTTCACCCGAATGTGCTCCTGTCCACAGTACATGACCGTTACATGTATGATATGTGTGTAATGTGTACTTGTAAAGCGCCTTGATGACTTCGAGGTGTGAAGATGGGCGGAGTGGTGCAGTGGGCTGGGCATTGGGGAACACCAGTTCGAAACCCGCCGCTGCGTCTGTAAAGCCCAGGGTTCTTACGGTCATTAAAAACCTGGAAAAGTCATGGAAATTCAAAATGCTAATTCCAGGCCCTGGAAAAGTTATGGAAAACAATATTTTTCCCAAAGTTATGGAAATGTAACTAAAGTTGCATCCAATATAATTTATATTTTATCTAATCGCAGAAATAGTAATACTATAACGATAATAAATACTGTATCGTATAGTAATGAAACGTAAAATGGCATTTAACTGTCGAGGTATTTTGCTGGTGAGAGGTTTTAGTAGCTTTAGCGTGTAGAAGCTAGTAAGCCTATTTGATTTGTTTTAGATAGGCACAACATGTTTCATATGCAGACCTTATTTTCCTGTTCCATGTTAAAATAAACCATTTTCAGTGGTACCGCTGAGAAAGAGTAATTTTTTTGGTCATGGGAAATTAGGTAAAGGTCATGGAGAAGTCATGGAAAATCATTGGTGAAAAAGTGTATGAACCCTGAAAGCCGGTGTGTCCCTGGGCACTTCCCCTGAATTTGCTCCTGTGGGTATTGTCCACAGTACATGACCGTATCATATGTGTGTAATGTGTATTTGTAAAGCGCTTTAAGCATCTGGAAAAGCGCTATAATGGAAGGAATTATTATTATTATTATTATAACAAGCTGTTTTAGAATATCAGAGTCCTGTTGGGTACCCGTAACTGTTGGGTACCCCAAAGTTTTATGTATCCAGCATCCAGCACATAGAAACTGCCGGAGTCCATTTCTGGTATTTTCAGGATAAAAAATGTCCGTTTTAACCAGAAAATGCCAATATCTCTCTCTGGGCTGATTATGATTCATTTTGGGTCGATTTGGAAGATTTAGGGGACATTTGGATTGGACAGATTGCTTATTTATGTGTAAAAACATCAGCCACAGTAGAGATAATAATCTTCATCTTGTGCTCTCTATATCCAATGGATGCAACACGACTCATTGTAGTCAAAATCA